CAACCCCATGTGTACTAACGATGTCAATTAATATACTCCAACAACCCCATGTGTACTAACGTCGTCAGTCAATATATCTCCAACAACCCTGTGTACTAACGTTGTAAGCAGTATGAAATTTGCGTTCGGAATACAGCACTTTGTCTCTAAATGCTCTTCTCTCGGCCTACGACCCTGTAAAGAAAAATGATGGTAATTAGAAGAAGTCTAACAGCCTGGTTGAAATCAGGCAAAATATCAACCGATGTGCGAAAGTTCGTTTCTTTCACCCATTGAAGTAAAGAATGATATTTTACTCGTGTGTTCAGCTTCATTGCTGACCTCGTGTAAAGCTTTCTCGTCTCCAGTCGTTTAATACAGTTATACAAATCAAATCTTACCGTAATAAAGTAAACACGTGTTTGAAGGACACCAACGCTCCAGTTCTCTTTCCAATTATCTGCGATCAGTTCAGGAAGAAAAATGACGTTTTAGAAGTGCGTAATACCCACCAATATTTTTGTCGATTTATATGTTTCAGCCATTACAACAAATAAAAAATAGATTCCAGGGAGGAGAGCCAAACTTTGACAGGAAGCCCTTTACTTCTTGTAAATTCTACACACTTCATTTTGTCACAAATGGTGGAAAATGGAATTTTGGTAATACAACAAAAACCGCTGTATGTGTAAATGATCCTAGCTAAGGGCCTGTTTATATGGAGCCAGTTACCTGGCTAAGCGAGTTACTCGCTCAACCGGTTTGAAAAGTTATCTGTTTATATGGCCGGGTAACTCGGCTAGTACTTCCGTTCAATTTTCTTAAATGAAGTTTGGCTATGCTAACTTAAAAAGGCGAGATTTTAAAAAGCCTAACAGTTTCGCAGCAAAATGGATGGGTTAATATAAAATTGAAAATTATGATATGTGTATGTTTTGTATAATAATGCTGCAAGTACAAGGCTTAGTACGCATGCGTAGAGCCAATTTTGCCTCGCCGAGTTACCCGGCAAATGCGTTTATATGGAAAAATTCATCCCGCCTGCCGGGTAACTCGCCACAAACCGAGTTACCCGGCAAGGCGAGTTCGGATGTGTCATATAAACGATTCACCGGGAAATGCATTCATTTTATAGGGCCGAGTTACTCATAGCCGGGTAACTCGGCTCCATAGAACCCTAAGTCTTGTGGTTATTTAGGCACAACATATCAACTTTTATCTTATAACTCACCAAGTGTTGAAGATGGTACTACAATGAGATGAGGTCCTTCGTTCTGCTCGATTAGATACGCTAGAAAGACAATTGCCTGTATAGTTTTACCCAATCCCTATAAGAGAAGATCATTGAAAGAAAAGACAATGGGTGACAAAACGTGGAAAGAGTGAAAAATACAGGAGAACAAATACCATTTCATCTGCTAAAATTCCATTAACATCTCGTTTGTGTAACGCAATAAGCCAGTTCAGACCGGTTAGTTGATAAGACTTGAGTTTAAACCTAGTAAAATTGAAAAAAATAGAGGTTTCATTGACCATTAATTTGCACCAATCCGTTTTACAATTGAGGCGGAAGGTCTTTCCTGAGTATAAAGTAAACTCTATGACGTACTAAGGAGTGAGAGGACTTAATATATTGTGATTGTTTAAGTGTAAGAAAAACAAGATTAAGGCGTTTCACAAATTACTAATCGCATTAAGCTTGATCAGCTTAATATTCTCACATAATTTCCGCAAAAGCGAGCGAGTATGTACTAAATTAATTGATATTAAGATATAAAAGAAACTACAACTGTGCTTTGAAATATCATATCATAGTCTACATATAACTTACCCAGAAGCCACAAGACTTGGTTCAGAGACAGCGTATTTTTCTTTAACAACTAACATGGACGATGTCGAGTCACTCACGTTATTCTGAAACATTACAATAAAGAAAATATAAAGAAAATGGGCGGGATGGAATGAGGGCTGGAACCTAATCAGCTACTTCGAAAAATAAAATTGAAACACTTGTCTACAAACTTGTGTTTTTTTTGCTGGTAAGCTTTAGCAGAAAAATTGCCTTGTAAAAAGCAAATATTTGAGAAAGGGAAATATAAGGTAGCGACATTAACCTCGTGATTACATCTCTTCATTTCAAAGAGACCTTCGATGCTTTTACTGATACATTCACTTTTCTTTATAAGTTCTTCCATCTTTTCACGCTGTTTTAATACATTTAGACACTCCAAGGCAAGCTGAAGTTAAATAAAGAAACGCATGCATTAAAATTAATCACCAGCCGTTGATTTCAACTTAAAGTACAACGAAGAGACACGCTCCGGTTGTATGATGTGTGAATTTAACTTAAATATAACGGTATAATAACGAGGGTCGAGGGGGTCATTGAGGGACTTAGGAATCGAAACACCACAAGTCCCCAAGACCCCCTTCTCCAATCAATAAGAGCTCACACTGCAATTTAAAGATTAATCTTTCCCACAAGTCCTCAATTTTCTCTTGAATGAATAATCTATTTATTTTTTTAACGCATTCTCTAATGTGAGACTGGGTTTTTCCGTGATATAGTTCAGACCTGTTTAAAGCATTTCACTTCTCAGCAACAAATTTCAAAAATAAAATCTTTACAGCAAAATTTTTCATTAATAACTATTGAAAACAAGTCTTCGCGCATTGCAGTTGGCGGTTGCCAGGCAGCAAATTCGTAAATTCACTGCTTACTTTACAAAATACAGAATACGATGCCCGTATTCTCTATTCTAAGTCTGCTTTACAAAAATTTCCAGCGAGATACAAAAATATTTCCTGTGAATCGTTTTGAGAAAAAAATCGTGATTACAGCGCTGGCAGAAATTTTCTGACGTAATGAAAGGTGACGTAAAGAAAAATATGACGTAAAGAAAAAATGTGACGTCAATGATTCCATAACTTTCCTTATAATCTCTTACCTCAATAGTCAGGTGCTTTGCCTGTGATATTTTATCCATCTGTAAAACAGTCAAATTTAGAGTATGCATTAGTCATGGATTCTCTAATTCTTCAAAGTACTGAACTACTCTTGATCTTGTGATTTGGTAAAAAGTTAAAGGGGTTTTTACTGAGTTAAAATTCTTCTTAGTTTAATCGGATGTAAAACATGACAATTTTCCAGAGAAATGTTTACCATAAGAGATTAACTTGCTAAAGATATTGTGCTTAACGGTGTGCAATTTATTATTAACAGGTTGAATGCCTTTGTGCATCACTTTTAACATTTGTTAAATTGTGTTTAAACGAAGTTTGTAGAAATCATTTTGTTCACGTTTAAAATATTAATTTGTAGCACTATAAAATAATTAACGTAATATGTTATGCTCTAAAGAAACATTTGTCAAAAATTGCATCGTTTTCTGAACTAATTCAACATCTAAGACATAAGCTTACTGTAGACAATTTATTATTAACAGGTTTAATGCCTTTTGTACAAGACTTGAACATTTGTTATGTACATTGTGTTTCAAGTTCATTCAAAGTCATTTTGGACACTGTGCAAAATATAAACATAGTCACTTAATTTGATCAGCGATTGTCATACTGTGAATTAAAAATAAGTCAGATAAAACAAATTTACATCTCAGATGAAGACAACATTTCTAATGCCTCTCAATTATAAAAATCATTAGATAAAAAAGCACTTACAGATCATTCCATGAATCAAATGGACGTAAGTGACAAAGCCAATGTTTCCATTTCATCCTTCTTCCATTCCTTCACTCCATCACTAATTCTTCATTCCATTCCTCCATTCCTGTCACCATTCCATTCCATTTCCATTCCTTTCCACCATTCATTCCACCATTCCTTCCATTCTCCATTCCTCCATTTCCATTCCTCCACCATTCTCAATTCCACCATTCCATTCCTATCCACCATTCTCACTATCCATTCATTCCATCCACCTGTCACTTTTCTCCAATTCCTCCGCCCTGTCACTATTCTCCAACTCTTCCACCCTGTCACCATTTTCCAATTCCTCCCCCCTGTTACCATTCTCTAATTCTTCTTTCATGTTATCATTGTCCATGACTCTGTCCCAATCCTTTTCTTGCCAGGATTACCGCCCATTACAACCACCAACAATGGTTCACCACATTCTGTAAAAATCAACAAAAAAAATATTATTTATTGTTTTTTATAAATGATATAAGCCATACACGAGTACAACACATAAACCTTGCATTTAGCATACTCAAATGCATATTTATTAAATAACATATGATATACAACTACAAACTCCATTTATCCAATCTGAAAAGCTTAATTGTTCTTCTTAACAAGATATTCTATGCAAAATTCAAATTTATAATTCAAGTACACACAAGAAATAGATAAAATCACTTCATCATTAATCATGAAACTTAAAATTATTCAAAAACACAAACAAATAAAAGGAGCTTTAACATTAAATAAATACGTAAAAAGCCAATACCGTTATAACAATTCTCATTACTCATTGAGTTAGGTAGCCACAAATACAAATGCTGCTATTATGCAATGGTATTAAGAAAATAAAATTTGCAGTTAGTCCAACACATATAAAACACCTAACGACAAATTATGCCCATACTAATAGCATTGTTTAGTCTATATTTCATAAACAATGATTCAAAAGTTTTACCATTTTTTCCTGTGCTTTTCAATCTCCTATCCTCATCAAACATCTTTCTGAGTTTACCCATTTTCGACCTCACCGTCCTAACACCATCGACATCTTTATCTTTGCCGCAGTTTTCTCCAAGAGGCAAATTTTTGTAATTTTTCTTGCTTTTCACGGAGCGCACGTTCAAATCATCGCTACTGTCACTATCCAACATGCATATTGTGGAATACTTATCATCTGTCTGTACATTTGTAGAATTATTGTCATTGCAACTTTTATCAATATCATGTACTTTATTATTTGTTTTATTTTCGCTGTTAAAATTTGAAATTCGTTCATTAGATTGAACATGGCGAAAGCCCAATGCTGGTAGCCGCCTTTTGTAATTGAAGTTAGACACACAGTCGATTTTCCGTTTCATATTTTTATTTTGCCGACAAACTAACAAACCATCAATTTAGAAAATGTTTATGCCACATTCCACTTGAGTTTACCGCCAAAATTTATTCCATACACCAAAAGGCGCCAATTGTTGCCATTGGTTAATCTTCGCCATGTGCTGATGTGCCTGAAATTTTGACTGCTTCGCTAAAAGTTTTGGAATTTGAAAGAAAAAAACATCATACGTAAAACGTGTTGGAATCTATAGGTGTGTAAAAAAGTAGAAAGTTAACCCTTGTCTTCAATGATTGGGGTAATCGACAAATCGTGTAATTGCCGTACATAGCTTTCAAGACATGGGTTCAAGGCTACGTCACAAGCACAGTGCCCAGTCACTCAAGTGCTTAATTTTATAAAATTTATAAAATGAGCTCTCCCTCTACTGGCTTGTCCAGATCCTATGAATTATTTAAGTAGTCATGAGAAATGTTTGGTTGCATCTTAGCTGAAGAAAATTCGCTTTTTAACTGAAGGCAAATAAAGTGTATGTCATAAACAAAATAAGGATCACTGAACTGTATACATATAACTGGATAATTCTTTTTGTTTACTACACATCGATATTTATTGATCAAGTGAAAAGTCGAGTTTCTGTCAAAAAATGGCAATTGTGATGTTGTTAGCTGGCGGAGTGGGTATAATTCAATTTTCATTTATTATCAGCACAATCCAGAAAGCTTTTCCAGGTCTAGCAAAGCACAAAGCATTTCGACAAACCATCCGATTCATTCTTGTCAGTCCCATTATCCTAACGGTCCTATCAGCTATTGGGCTATTTTTCCTAATATTTCTGCCAGTTAAAGTTGACAAACCGTACACATCTAGAGAAGGGATTATTTTAATCGCTTCAGCTTGCTACCTCTGGTTAAATGTCGCGTTCAATTATTTCGCGGCGATGCTTAAGTCTCCTGGATACCCTTCAACGGCGTCCGAAATGGAGGAAAACGGTTTCAAAATGGACGAAGGAAGCGTCCTTTGTTGTAAATGCGATCGAATGAAATCAATTGACACCCACCACTGTACCACGTGCGGAACATGCGTTACCATGATGTGTCATCACTGTCCATTTACAAGCAACTGTGTTGGCCTCAAGAATTATTCATATTTTTTCCTATTTATCTGTTATAGTAACGTTGGTTTACTATTTGCAATGTACATGACATATGAACCATTTTACCAATGTATGGTACCTACGAGAGATCGCTTGGACACCCTGTCATGGTACCATAATGGTGTTTGCAAAAAGCTTGGTGACTTTGCCATCTTGTTTATTCCTGTCGTATTCATGGCAATGTTTTGTGGTTCAATGTTCCTGTTGCAGTCTTTGCTTCTGGCAACAAATTGCTCAACTATTGAACTTCTCACCAAAATGCAGAGATCTCGAAATCTCACAGATTTCCTACAGTTCATCATTAAGCGAATTTTTAAAAGCAAAAAAAGTCGATTTCAAGTCATGTTCTGGCATTCACGTGAACATTGGTGGCAGTTCCTCGTTCCAGCTTTTGTACCAGTACAACATGGGGAAACACTAAATCTTGTTGTTTGATCACCAGTCCATTTGAGAATGATGGTGTACTTGCAAGTCAAAAAATTTGCATTTTTTATAGAAAATAGAGCAGGGATGTAGGAGCTCAATAGTTGGGGGAGGGGTCAATATGCATACACTTACATATTATGTTCCTTTGAAATCCATTTTTACTAACAATAACATTCATAAATGATATATATGTCCCCACAATTATTGTGCTGGCTACATCCATGTTGTAGAAATAGAGCATTTTAAAGTTCTAATACAAAGTATTACAATAATTAGTAGAGGTTTATAAGTTAACACAGCTTTGTGCTCATGTTATGATATTTATTGACAGTCAGTAGAAAGTATTCATAGTGCCTTTATTTAATAAATACACCTTTTTATTTATAAATTATAATGTGTTCAATACATAGATATACTATAAAATGAAATATTAATTGATAAAATAGAGATTCACATAACATTAATAGCACATCATACATGGATAGACTTTTTCTAACTTATATGGCAAATAATATTAAATTCAAACCAGTATTGTAACTTATTTTGCTTAACGGTAGTTGCATCATATTGTTAAGGCGTGTGAATGGCCAAGAAGAAAACATTTTTGGCACTTTTCACCCCCAAACTTTTCACCTCCAAAGTAGCATGCATTGAAACTTTGAAGTTAGTTTCTGTGGTGTGTGAATTTGAGTATAAGAAAACAGCACCCCCCCTGCCACTCACCTTCATGCCACTCCCCCCTGTCATCACCAACAATGATACTGGTTAAACACCTTATTTGAATAATTTGAATTATTTTCTTGTTTTAACTGTTATTAAGTTTTTCATCATATCAAAACTATTACCATCAGGTTGAAGGGTTTTAACTTCATTCAAGTCATTAACTACACAGAGAAAACCCATGTCATCTAAACCTTTGATTGTAACTATTTCACCATCTTCATTATCCAGTCTTACTTTGGACTCACTAAAATGGGATGAAAAAGTAAAATTATTTACGTATTCACGAACTCATTGCTTTTGTTTTTTGCGATGAACACTCTGATTAATGATTACGCCAGCTAAATATCCTGCAAGGTTGATTTCAATTTTTCAATTTTTAAAGAGTAAAGCGACGAAGCGATTGTCTTTTTACTAAATCTAATTTCTACATCAATCAGTAGCGTAGCCAGCAAGCAGATGTAATCGTACTATGTAAATTATTGAAGATTATCATTAATCACTTCTCCAGTTGTTCATATAATCAGTGAAACTACCTAACAATTTTTCCATATCTGCAGTAAAAGGTTCGCCTTGCTACGCCACAGTTGCCGATGCTGAGGGGTCATAAAAAATTCGAGAATCGGTTTAGTCAGAAACCGCAGTTTTTCTTGTAGCTTAGCTCGGCGGAAGAATTTTTTCATGCTTTACAAAGCTCAGCTGTTTTTTGTCGTCGTAGAAAATCATAAACTGACCTGTGTAGCCAGCGTGAGTAGTATTTTTGAAGAAAAATTTCGGGTCCATTGAGCTGAAAGTCTTCTACAAGTTCTTCCATTTTGTTAAGAATTCTAGCAAGAAGCTCTTCTTTGCTGATTTTTTTCGATAACTTGTGTTGCTCGATGATTTCGTTTATACAAGTTGTTGGCTGATGGTTGTCAACATTTATTCCAATCCCTAAAAGCGAAAGTTTTGAAAAGATAAAAATTGTGGGAGAATGCAGTATCTGTTACATAGCCAGCCAACAAGTTTGATCGTGCAAAGTCATTTTTTTTGTGTTTACTCTGTCACTGTATAAATAATAGATTTCTAAATATTGCAAACGATCTCATGTTTACAACTGTGGGTGTTTAGACCATTTACGCTGAGTATGGAAAGGATTTAGTATGAGAAAATGTTTTTACAAGTCTTGGAAAGAATTGGATAAAAACGTCCCGACAGCGATTGAGAAAAATCACATTTTTGAGAACGCTGAAATATTATAATTTTCTTCCACGATTAGCCTGCAGTCTCAGATTAGAAACTGCTGATGAGACAAAAGAGTTGCAAAATGTATATCAATTTGAACATCACATAAAATAAACACGCGTTAAACGAGCAGAATGAGAGACAAAACCTTTTACAGTCACATTTAAGAAAATAGTTTTCTTTTATTTGCGACAAGAAGATATTGCGTGTCATACACACATCCACTTTAACATCGGACACAAAAAAAGACAAGTGAAAAGTTCAAATACCTATGACAGCCCAAAGACATCTTCCTTGAATAATAGAGTTGACCAGAATACCACCAATTTTTGTCTTATTTCCAAAATAGATGTCATTGGGCCATTTGATTCGGAGATCTAAATGCTAAGAATATGACTGAAATTATGATACTGTCTTTGGTTGCTTATGAGCGAATTTCATAAATTTGCGTTGCGTGCTATACTTCAGTCATAAATCTTCCTTCACCAAACTTCATTCCCTGAATTTGAATATTCCAGTCTAACCTCTTTGTCAAGAATGATTTGACATTTAAACTTTAGTACTTTTCAGTCTAGTATCTTCATCAAAAGTATTTTGTTGTTGAAACTCGACTCTTTAAATACTAAAGTAAATGGTTTGAACCCGGGAGTATCGTTACATGTTTGTAGATGTAGATCGTCCGAGTTGGTATAGTCCTGAGAAGGACTGTTTTGGTTGTTGTAGACCGACATTTCGACAACCTTAGCGATAGCCATTTTGACTCTGAAGATGACTACCGCTAAAGTTGTCGAAACGTCAGTCAACAACAACAAAAACAGTCCTTCTCAGGACTATACTAACCTGGACGATCTACATCTTTAAATACTCATGTTTCGTGTCTTCATCAGAAATGATTTGATGTCGAAACTTGAATTCGCATTTACTACAGAAGATACCAGTCTTCTTTAGGAAAGATTTAACGTCGAGTTCTTAATTTAAATCCTCCATTATCTCTCACAGATCCTTTTATTCCATGCATTATGTTCTAACATATCACATGAAAAACGCAAAAATAAATCACCTGATATCCAGATATGTCCCTCACAGCATCAACAATGGCTAGGGCTGCGATATGTTGTACAAATGGAAGACGTTGACCAAGATTAGAATTAAGTTCAATTTCCAAAGGAAATGAAAATGAAAGACAACCATCCGGAGATAACCAAGCATTTCCTCCACGACCTACAGAAAAAACATCATTCCCACTATACTTAAACACTTATTTCTCAAAGAACAGTAATAATTGGTGGATGGTTTTTGGGAAATACAAAAAAATGTAAGTAAAAAGAAAACTAATCAGATGTTGGAATGGTACTAAAAAGAAAATATCAAAAACATATTACAAACCTTTTCCGACAGTCTGTTGTCTTGCAATAACAACAACTCCAAGACCATGAGGTAATTCTTTCAGTAATCTCAGACTTCTGAAATAAAGTTATGCAAGTACGTATATTTTGAACTTGAATTTATCATGAAAACAACCGAAAATCAGCTTCCTAAACTGAGGGCCTTTATTGAAAACATAATGGTTTCTTTCGACTTCGGACGGTTTAAAAGAATTTAACGAAGTTACTAGACTGAAAAGTAGGAACAAAGAAGGAACAAAGAAACCTTTTTTTAAAAAAGTACAACGAACCTTCTTTTTTGGGGAAAAATCTTTGGGCAGGAAAAATGGTTAAATAAAAAAACATGTAATATATTTAGAAAGATATCATGTTAAAACTATGTATGATCTGAAAATTCCCACAATCCAACTGCAGTATCAAAGGGAAAACTCAGACTGGAGCAATACTAAGACCACGAATTTAGCTTGTTACCTTACCCATTCACGATCGTCTGTGTGGATGTGATGACGTCAGTATAGATCATCACGTGACCCAAATGTTTCGTATTCAATAATTCTTTGTATTGAGAAAATTTGACAGTACTGTAGCCTTCAGGAATGGGGTTTGTTATGACTGAAAAATTTTCAACAGTAGCGATGGCATCTTGATCCTCCGTGAATGAAACTGTCACACCGTTACCATGGAAAGAATAATCAGATGTAAGGTCTTGTATACAACGCAGAAAGAGGTCTTTGTTCTAGGTATTAAAATGAATGAAATATTAAACTATGGTCTGAATGAGCTCAATAGCAATATGATCAAAATTATTGTTTTCTCCAGACACAAAGCCATGGTACATGAAGACCTTCATACTAAGATTGTTGAAAGATTGATATTTAAAAGGTTACTCATATTCATATATGAATGTAATAATCCATAGAAAATAATGGACTTCAATAGAACATATATAAATTTGAATATCATTCATTAATGAATCTGAGCCTCCCCTCCCACCCCAAGTAATGATTTTGATCTTCCAAAGGTTATATGTATGTAACTATGTAGAGAACTTATGGAGTATCTTGAAGACCAATAACATATTTTTACTATTTTGTCCAGATTAACTATGGACTACTTACATATAACCAATTCACTAACAAAAATTGATGCATGACTAATTTCAATCAAGGAGAAAGAGATGTAAAAATGGAGTTGAGCCTTTACCTTTTGATCAACCAATAACATTGCAGGGGTAAGCGGACACTCTGGGACATCTTCACACATCATACCAAGATTACAAAATAGGATTTTCATTAATTTTTCAATGTTGTTGTCTGTACTTCCATTCAGTGCAATACTAGAGATCAGTTCAGTTACTGTTGATAATATCAGTATGCCTTTTCCACGAGATTCCTGGATGATAACAGGTTGAGATGTTTTTGAGGTGACAGCCAACACTTCCAAGTCTTTGCAAGGTTTGACTAAGAGTCATCATACAAATGATGGATGAACTTAAAACATTTCACACAAAATGCTACAAAGTAGACTCTACATTTAAGAAATAAAAGATGTTTACTGTGTTTGCACAGGCTTATGCGAACCAAGGAGACCTTTGGGAGAACTAGAGAGCAGATCAGTGCAAGCCCGATACCAAAGGTCCAGGATTGCACCTGCTCAAGAGTTCTCACAAATGTCTCCGAGGTTTGCCTAAGCCAGTGCAAACACGAAAAATATCTTTAATTTCTTTAATAAATTAACAATAATGCGAAACAGACAAATTTAAAGTAATCATTTTAATTTTTACTCTAAAATGTTTTCATGATCGATTTGCAAGTTCTCTTTGACTGATTGACTGTTATGATTGATTTGATTGGTTGAGCTCAGATGTGTTTTGTATTGGCTAATGCAAACATAGCTCTAGACCAATCCGTGCAAGGGTTTCATTGTGTTTATTTTATAATTGTAAATGTTCCATGCAATGGCACTGTCAGTCCACGTATTCAGTTGTGCTGTATGCAAATGGAAATTGTGTTCACTAGCAGCCATAATTATAAATTTCTAAAGAATTTAATGTTCCTGAATTTTATGGACAACTCATTCTTCTATTCTACTAGTTTCATGCAACTTATCTTAATTTTCACAATGTTTGAGGAGAATCGAAATGGCTTGCACAACTTATTTCACTATCACATTGTATCACAAGTTCCATAAATATCCCTTTATGTTCATGGTTGAACCTACCTTTGACGTACGTATTTACATCAGCCACATTGCTACATGGTTTCTTTCTCATTTTCTCAGTAAAACATATTTCATCATCAGGAATAGGAAGTTGGCCCAAGCTGATGTTATCACTGAATGAAATGTTCTTAGAAAATACCAACAGCTTTCCCTGGTGACGAAAGAACTTTTCAAACGACTTTTTGTGAGATTCTTCAAGGTTTATAGATAAATCTGAAGCGACTATCAACAGTTCAGTGTTTTCTTGCCAAGGTTCTCGCAAGATTGACTCATCTTTGAGCTGATATAAAACATATTTATCCCGACTTAAACATTGCCCGAAGAAATCTTTGAGATTTTGAAATGCAGCTGAAGAGTTCTTTCCTCTCCCAGTGTAAATAAGTACATTTGGAGGTCTTGTTGACATTTTACGCACAACATTTTTGGCCGTTGATGCTTCTAGCATGCCAAGTCGTAAACTATTAACAATATGAGTTGCGTACGGTAAAAGAAACATGATTTTTCTACAGTTACGATCATTTCTTTTACAAAATAATAAGTTGATGTTTGGTTTCACTCTTACAAAATCGGGGAAACTTCATGTAACACTAAGTATAATGATACACCATTATGTTCTTTTCTACAATAAAAATATAATGAAGTAAAATATGTGTGTGAGTTGTGACATCAATTTTTGGGATTTCAGCCTTCTTAAAAAATCATGCATCTTGTGCCAATGACTGGAAGCACTTTCTGTATCATGACGTTGTTACTGACTGTGTTTAACACAGATTTTGACGGCTCTGAACATGCCATCTACAGCATTCTGGTTAAATTATTTTTTTAAAAATGTTTTGAATTAAGCTTTCCAAGTACAACTGGCAAGAAATTTTACAATCAAGGTACAGTGGATAGCACTTTTAAATACACAGAGAATTATATAATAAAAGATATTTTATACAACCAACATTTATTCAAGCTCAAATCAAAACTTTTCTTGCATGTTTTGTGTAGCTAAAACTCTATCTTGTCCATGGACGCCGGACAAAGAAGCAATCACGGGGAAGGGCTCTCCTTGCCTAAAAAATGTCTCTTTTGCCTTTTATTTCTTATTTGAAACTTTAGTTCTAAAAAATATCACCACAGTTTTGTATCAACATATTAACTTGTCATTCGCAGACTACAATGGGCAGAACTTGAATTATTCCATGAAACATCAAAGTAAGAAAGAAAAACTGTTATTCATTGTCTCATTGAAATTTTATATAGCAAATCTTTAATCTTTGAATTAAACTGGTGTATGTTTTTAAGTAAATTTTTCCGAATAGTGAAAGCAGCAACCGTTCCTTATCTTCTCGGAGCGATGGTCTTTTCTTACTCAATTAAAAGCCGTAAGTTGAAACCATTGGAGATAAAAGTTCGATTTGCTTGTATTGTTCAAATTTATTTAACTTTAATTTATAATCAAACGAGAAACCAATTCTCGTTTTCACAATTTCGGTCAAATCGTTAGTAGATGATTATAAATAAGGATCACTTGAGGAAAATAGGAGGGATAGAAGAGGATTAAGTGAGGTTAGTGAGCAGTTATTGCATGAGTTAATTGCATGAGTACAGATGCTTTGATTACTGGTGGATTAAGTCTTGCTGTGCAATACAATGCACTACAGTTTGCAATTAAAACACATGCATATGCGTGTACAAATAATGGCGAAAAAACTAAACGCTTTATGAGATCCTAAAGCAATCATCCTAAAAAAACGTATCGCAAACTTGAGTTCTTATACTTTTTGATCAATTTCATACATTACAGATCAAAAATATCATGTGAAAAATTATAAATTTCATAAAGTAAATATTTTGCCTTTCATGACAATCCGCTGAGATGCTTTGAATTCCATTGAACAAAATAATTGGCCACGTATCGACTTTGTCTGTAGAAGTGAAGATATATAGTCATCGACAGTAGAATTAGTGTTGTAAGTTATGCTACAAACAAACTTCGTCAGTCCTGATTGCCAAGTATAACTAAATACATCGTCTTTAAGATAATCGGTGAGTTATTGATGATGTAATTGTATTGAAATATAAAACTTAACTTAAAATAAATGTGAGGGTACATATATCGTCATCAACAGCATGATGGATCAGTTTTTACTAATGTCCGACAAGGTGCATGAATTGATTTTAGAAATGCTCACTTGTATGTAATTAGCGCTCCGTTTACTTTAAAGCCATATCAGAATTGCAAAGTTTTTCAGCAAATAAACTATCTATCTCTCTATCAATCTTCGTTCATCGTCTGTTTCTTGATCGAATTCGATGTGACGATGAGAAAAAACAATGCTTTGCGAATATTTTTTCCTCAAAAAAGCTTTAGTCTTGACTTCAAAGATAGCAGTGAAGTTATATAGCCCTCAAGTCCTTTTAGAGCTTCTTGACAAACTGAAATAAATCTACAGGGAAAGTGGAAACTTTATTGAGCTAAATTCTTATAAATTTTATCACAAAGAGAACATTCATGTATACTTTGTCATCAAGAAAGCATTTAAAATCTAGTAATTTTTGTGTCATGTGTATGCAGTATATAAAATATATAAAACTTTTATTTCTAAATCTATCGTCTCGCTGTTATGAACAGATATGAATATTTTACAATGAAAACAGCAGGTGATTAAAATTAAGCATTTAGTGAACATTTCAATTTCTTTATTATCAAGCAAGAGAAACAAATACATCATGTAGTACGTAGCGTATTTTTAAATCTTTCTGAACTTGTGAAAGTATGTTGATTTTAAGTTTACTTGTCATTGTAATACTGTATTCTAATTTTGTGATTGAATGTTTTATGTCCATTTATCAATTATTTTGTTTTTGTGTCCTGAATATTGTGATTTAATTGTCGTAAATAACTTATAAGTGAATAATACCAACCAGATAACAAATACGGTCAACCTGACGTTTACTCCTCATTTGACTCTGAAGATGACTACCGCTAAGGTTATCGAAACGTCAGTCAACAACAACAAAAACAGTCCTTCTCAGGACTATACCAACCTGAACGATCTACATCTACAAACATTTAACGATACTTCCGTGTTCAAACCATTTACATTATGGATAACATTTGTTGATTTTAGTGGGATTTTTAAACTGTCACAAATACATTATGAATAGTGATCCTGAATTAGCAATCCTGACCTTTACACATTAACATTCCAATAGATTGTTTTGGATATTATTTATAAGTTATGCTACAAAATTAAGGCTGTATCAAAATAATCACAGAATTTAAATTATTCATGCCTTTCACAGAAATTGATTTGCAAATTCGTCGAACTTCTCAAACCTATGACGGAGAGTTTTGCAGATCACAAATGTGGTGAACGTATTATTATGAGGCGTTCAACACAATCCAAGATTGTTCAAACAGCGTATGCGAAGTAAGCGTATTATACTTCATGTATAACAATGTGCCCTCCCGGCTATCATCATAGTTGACGTGTTATTCTCCTGCACTTGCAACACAGAATGTACGGTTACATATTGTTTTGATTGCATTGTAGAGTCACCAGTTATAATATTCCGATATTACGATTAGGGTTGTTATCATCTAAGATATAAATCTTTATTAGATACATGAAAGGCAAAATCTTTGAGTTAAAACCACGGTGTAAAATCTAAGAGTCTGCCATATTTACATTTTACACGTGCAATTCTTTGGAAAAAGTTACCAGACAAATTTTTAATATCTTAACTATACTTATATTTTTGTATGATCTAAGACTTATAAATGTTTGCAGCATGCTAAATGTTAGACAAAATTTGCCTTAAATGAAAATTAACGACACCAATGTCTTAACAAGTTACTATTTGAATTATTTATTAGGAAAATTAGATCATCAACCGTCGGTCCTGGCAAGAGCTGCTTACAACGTAGGTAGTGTAAAAAGTGCAAATCTGACATAAACGTGGAGAAATACTTAGATAAGTTGAATGAAGGAAAGCGACAGAAAATGGATGTCAATTTTCGAAGAATAAATTCAGCTTACTTAGGAGCAAAAAGTTTAAAGTTAGCAGTACAAAAAAGTGTTAACGAATCCATCTTGTTGGAACATGTTTTTAAACTTTTCTCAATAATATCTTTCGATCCTTTACCACAAGATATCATTATCAAATTTATTAGAAGCATTGATCCCCAAAAATCTGCCGAAGATGTTTGTCTTCATTTAAAGCAATGTTCGATATTTCTTCAATCTAAAAACAACGACATCCGCCTGCACAGCGTTGTACATGAAGCCATTATAAATTATCATGAAGAAAACATATTTGCGATATCTTCTGCCGATCTTGCCGGTCACGTTGCTTGGGCACTATATCATTTTGAAGACAGAGAAGATGAAATCAAAATAATTCCACATCTAATTAAATTCATCAAAATTTGTCATTTGAACAATTTTAAATAAGTTGATCGATGTAAAATTATTGAAAAAAAAACTTAATGAAAAAAATTGGAAAATTGCCAAATATTTTGTGGCTGCATTGGAAAGATTCTGCTACTACAAACAGGCAACAAAAGTACTTTATGAAATAACAGAAATTCAAACTAAAGTGTTAGGTGTTGATCATATTGATGTTTCATATTCGTACAACAAGCTGGGTGTATTGCTGTGGAAAAATGGAGAATACAATAAAGCAAAAGATTTTTATGAACAAGCTATGAAAATTCAAACAAAGGCATTTGGACCTGACCATGTTGATGTTGCGAAAATGTACCACAATCTGGGTGCGGTTTACAGAGATATGGGAGAGTACGAAAAAGCAAAAGATTTCTATGAACGAGCGATGGAAATTGAAACGAAAGCATTTGGACCTGACCATGTTAATATTGCATCAACGTACAACAATCTGGGTTTGGTTTACAGTAAAATGGGACGGTACGAAAAAGCAAAAGATTTTTATGAACGAGCGATGAAAATTCAAACAAAAGCATTTGGACCTGACCATGTTAATATTGCAACAACGTACAATAATCTGGGTTTGGTTTACTATGATAAGGGAGAGTACGAAAAAGCAAAAGATTTTTATGAACGAGCGATGGAAATTAAAACAAAAGCATTTGGACCTGACCATGTTAATATTGCATCAACGTACGACAATCTGGGTTTGGTTTACAGTAAAATGGGAGAGAACGAAAAAGCAAAAGATTTTTGTGAACAAGCGATGAAAATTCAAACAAAAGCATTTGGACCTGACCATGTTAATATTGCGACAACGTACAACAATCTGGGTTTGGTTTACCATAATATGGGAGTGTACGAAAAAGCAAAATATTTTTATGAACGAGCGATAGAAATCAAAACAAAAGCATTTGGACCTGACCATGTTAATGTTGGGACAATGTACAACAATCTGGGTTTGGTTCACAAAGATATGGGAGAGTACCAAAAAGCAAAAGATGTTTATGAACGAACGATGGAAATTGAAACAAAAGCATTTGGAACTGACCATGTTAATAATGCGACAACGTACAACAATCTGGGTTTGGTTTGCAGTGATATGGGAGAGTACGAAAAGCAAAAGATTTTATGAACAAGCGATGGAAATTGAAACGAAAGCATTTGGACCTGACCATGTTAATATTGCATCAACGTACAACAATCTGGGTTTGGTTTATAGTAAAATGGGAGAGTACAAAAAGCAAAAGATTTTATGAACGAACAATCGAAATTGACACAAAAGCATTTGGATCCGACCATGTTAATATTGCGACAACGTACAACAATCTGGGTTTGGTTTACAAAGATATGGGAGACTACGAAAAGCAAAAGATTTTATGAACGAGCGATGGAAATTCAAACAAAAGCATTTGGAACTGACCATATTAATATTGCGACAACGTACAACAATCTGGGTTTGGTTTACAGTAAAATGGGAGAGTACGAAAAAGCAAAAGATTTTTATGAACGAGCGATAGAAATTAAAACAAAAGCATTTGGACCTGATCATGTTAATGTTGCGACAATGTACAACAATCTGGGTTTGGTTTACCAAGATATGGGAGAGTACGAAAGAGCAAAAGATTGTTATGAACGAGCGATAAAAATTGAAACGAAAGCATTTGGACCTGACCATGCTAATATTGCGACCATGTACAACAATCTGGGTTTGGTTTACAGTAAAATGGAAGAGTACGAAAAAGCAAAAGATTTTTATGAACGAGCGATAGAAATTCAAACAAAAACATTTGGACCTGACCATGTTAATGTTGCGACAACGTACAGCAATCTGGGTTTGGTTTACAAAAATATGGGAGAGTACGAAAAAGCAAAAGATTTTTATGAACGAACGATGGAAATTGAAACAAAAGCATTTGGAACTGACCATATTAATATTGCGACAACGTACAACAATCTGGGTTTGGTTTACAGTAAAATGGGAGAGTACGAAAAAGCAAAAGATTTTTATGAACGAGCGATAGAAATTAAAACAAAAGCATTTGGAGCTGACCATATTAATATTGCGGCAACGTACATCAATCTGCGTTTGGTTTACCATGATATGGGAGAGTACGAAAAAGCGAAAGATTTTTATGAACGAGCGATTGAAATTGTAAAAAACAAATTAGTTGCTGATGATGAAAGTAAGTGTGAGATGATAAGTTGAATGAGTAATAATTATAAAATCTTGATGATTTCATATATTTTTTACAGAAATTTAAAAATCTGATCGATGACTTTTTTGAAAATGATGAAAATGTGAAACTATTGACTTTAAAACAAAGTCGAGTCTTCTACACATTTTTTTGTCTGTTTGACTTTATAGTTTTTTTTAATGTCAACAATGATTACATTTGTGAATTCTTTGACGTGACAATTAGGGATGAGCAACATGATGAACGATATATTTTGCTGAAAAGAGGAAAACATTTTCCATATAAGATGTAAATCACTCTCCAGGCTGCCTTTATAGCACTGCAAACTAAATTGTATTACGCTGTAACTATATAGATGTTAATATTTTGAAGTAATTGTAAACGTGTTGGTGCATGCACAATTTATATATAATTACTGCGATGAAACGTGCAAACGTTTTTGTATAAATACCAATAAAATGCAGAGTAAACGTTTAACCAATAATTTTCTCTGACCTTGCATTTTTGCTTCAGAGTTGTACATATTAGCCATCAGGAAAATATCTTTTTCGTTAAATGCATTGTTTGTCATGAATATATGTATTATTTAACGGCTTGATTGGACGTTAATACTAAAACGTCAGTACTTACTGACCTAAACTGTAAATAATGTTTTTATTATAAAGAAATTCACATTGCAAAATGGCCGATGCAGCTGGTTAAGTGGAGCTTTTGACAACGTTCTCTTCGTCTAGATAGTAAAATTAACTTTCGATATAACAATTACCATCTGAATACATTAAAATTTCACTTTGTAAACAAATTTATTGCGAAAAAACATCACCTTCAGACAATCGCCAAGACATCGTAAAAAACTGCCCACTGCTGTAGCCTGCGGTTTTTAGGTTGCAGAAAATCAAAAATATCACTAGGCATGTTAAATAAAACAGTAAAAACATTTATATTGTGAAATTTTACTCCAGATAATATTGTATAATTATTATTATAGCTTTGAATAAAGATGAAGTTATTGGAAGTCATTCAACTCCACAAGCTCCGCAAGGTAAAGAAAACAGAAAACGAGGTATGTTTTTTTTCTTTAGTAAATTTTACTATCAGCGGCTATAGATAGCTCACTATAAAGGTTTAAGTTCTGCTAAGTCATATGCATGGTGCAGAAAACATAAAAGAAGGTATGCGTACGTCTTGTTTAGATATTTCACTGAATATAGCATATGAATTGAAGTAATTCATTAAGATTCAACCAGGTAATTCATATTTTAGAGATTTACTCTTAAAAATGAATAAAAATTCATGTTTGTAGTAGCTACATTAGGTATATTGTTTTGTAAGATGATATGTAAAATATTTTAATCCATCAGAAAATATTCCAATATTTTTGCTCATATTTTCACCACCACATGATAATTTTTTAAAAAACATTTTTCTGACTATAACAAAGAAAGCGGTTTTAGTTCAGCAAACTTACAGGAGTACAGAAGATGTACCACTGTTTTTTGGTATTTAAAATTATATTCAAATAAATGGATTGCTAAGGACTTATTTCCAACTACTTTCATAATTTGCCTTCGGCACACCGCTCTGTCTAAATAAGTAATTTACTAATCAATAGTAGCTATATAGTTGTTTTAAATCACTTTTTGCTTTGAATACATACATATTATTTTTTAATTTCATTAGTAGCTATGCGCAGCTATGTGAGAGTTGAAAACTGTTAGGGTCATTTTATTGCGAAGCTCATTAAAATGAACTTCTTTGGCATTTGTTGAAATAAACGAACACATGACCACAGCTCATCGTTAAACTTTTGTGAGGCAAAACTAAATTTTGCATGTCGAAGTAAGTGAGGTCACAATGAGAACAAATTTAGCGCGTGACAACTGTTAATCTTTGTGTAATAAACTCAATGAAATACTTGCATGATATTAAGGCTCCATCAGCGTTCAAAGATCAAATAAAAGTTACTTGCAATCGGCAAAGAATGGCAAGAGCCCTAATCTTATCGTACTGTTGTTGAAAAGTATTAGATAAAACCCAGAACATACACTTGAAGTTATATTGCCTGGATGTGGTCATCTGTTAATACCAAAATAAAAAGGAGTTCGATTCTGCATGATCATAGTCCTTTGTTGGTATGTTAAATATAGGGCAGAATACTAGCTAATATTATCTGCATGGATTTACCAAGCGTTCATTTTCAAAGATTAAACATTATTTGCATAAAGTCGTCAAAAATATAGTCTTTTTGTTCAAAATGTTATTACTTTAATATTACGCAAACATAGCTCTTTGACCCCAAAATGGAAATACAAGTCGTATATACGTTAATCAATCATTTATCAGTAAAGAGAATGACATCTCTTATACCTTCGAAAAGTGATTGAAAACAAACTGTTGACGATGTAGTATTTGTGGCAAAAGTTTATCATTAAAATTTGGGGAGAAATCTTAAGGGCTGTAATTTCCTTGATGTGACCCCAGTCACGTATTACGCATTCTGAGTGAGGAATTTCAGAAAATACAGAAAGGGTTTGTGACAGTTCAACTGAGTCATTCAAGTGAACAATGAGCAAAAAGCTCATTTTCAAGCCTTGAAGAAGTTTGGTGCTTTTAATAACAAAACACATACAGTATTCAAACTGTGCTCATTATTCTAGTCCATTTTGAGGCGATATATTTGAGAGGCTACCCCAATGGGCTACCCAAATAATCGGTATTCGTAAGCGCTTTTCATTTTGAATTTGCTAATCATATGCGAGCATACTAAGTTCATAAAGTTGCTAGGCTTCAAACGATTTAAAATTTTTTCTGATCTATGTAATATTTGTTTATTAATACATTATGCATTTCCTTTCGTTAATTTATCAATTCAATTATTTGTTCTGAATTTTCAAAGGTCCTCTTAGTCGTCATAAAAATGATGAAAGCTTTAATGATGACAGTTCTGATGATGACAGTACTGGAGATGACAGTTCTGATGATGACATTACTAGAGATGACAGTTCTAGTGATGATAATCTCATCAATAATGGCCCTGGTTATGGTGCGTCAAATGATCTCTTTAATTCCGATGATGATCATTTATTTGAAAAGATGTTTCTTGATGATGAATATGACATTAAAGAAGATGTGCACATAAAGCTCAAAAGGTTATTTTCTCGATAGTCACGTCTAGGGTCTTACTCTTAGTAAAAGAGGATGATATTCCGTATGATCTTAATAGTACTAGATTAATTAAGCATTTAAAATATAGACAATCGACTTATAACATTAAGTCATCACCAATTTATAAATGAAGCAGAGTATTTACAATGTTAAATATACAGTAGGACATGCATATGACACATATGGAGTAGTAATCAGTAGAGGGATAATTTTTTATAATAAAGTCTTAGACGTTTGTAAATGTAGATCAACCAGGCTGGTATAGTCCTGAGAAGGACTGTTTTTGTTGTGGTTGACTGACGTTTCGTCAACCTTAGCGGTAGTCATCTTCAGAGACTATAACATGTAACGATACTCCCGTGTTCAAACCATTTACTTTATTATGAACATTTGGATGACAGAGCGAACAACTTGCTAACGACTACAAACGTTTTGCATCTTCAGAGTCAAATGACATGTATTGTGAGTGTCATAAATATTTACATGGCATGCATTGTGAGTGTCATAAACACTAATTGAAATATCACGTTTGTTGGTTGAGATCGGTTTGTGTTTGCGTATGTGTAGAGATCTATAAGTTTGAGAGAAAATTGAGTGTTGACAGTGTCTAAGATGGTGAGGCAAAGTGAGTGTATTCGGATTTGCAGCTAAGAGTTTTATTTTTTTCGGAAATTATGTGCTTTTAAGCCAGTTTCTGCCAGGTGGCTACATGACGGGTTATCATTCACCATGACAAATACGCTGTTCAGAGCCATTTTAAATTTATTAGCACGACGAATTTCTTATTTTCACTTTTATTTTACAGTTTGCTTTGGATGCGGGCATTTATGGAAAAGTCGGTCCAAACGAGAAACTACCATATTTCCATTTGTTTATCACAGTTGATTACAAGAATGTTCATGAAGCTGAATTGAAAGATAAAATCGATGAAATGTTTGGACCGAATGCTTCGAGGTACTTTGAATTTCGTCCAAAACCATCGAAAACACCAAAGCTTCAACTGCTATCAAAGATTGCAGTAGAAAGAAACAGTCGGACAGTTTCAAGAGGCACATTAACGATGTTCTGTTATCAGAACGGGAAACATTACGCGTTGACCTGTTGTCATGTTTGTTACAACGGAGATGGTGATGACAAACTTTATGAAATGCTCAATCAAAACAAAATGACCCAAAAATTCAAATCACATTTGAATACAAATCAATACAACTACACATCTTCAGAACCCAATATTCACTTAGGATATTTCAGCGACTATAATTTACAAACTGATATGGACATTTTGTCAATAGAAGTCAATGAAGATTTTAAAGAAAATTGCAGACGAAATAAAATACATAGACCTTCATGGAATAATGTATGGAGGAGCTGAATAAACGAGTTCATGTTGAGCACGAGACAGTTGAAGTAAAAAGTATGAGAGGTATAAAATTGGGAAAATTTATGATGTTTCTTTTTCCTGTAATGATCCTGAAGGAAGGTCGTGTATCAGGATGCCGTTCTAGTGAAAAGCAAAGAACATTTCCTTAAAAGTGGTGAGTCTGGCGTGCTAGTATATTTTCGGGATGAGCATGGAAGAAGAATTCCCTTTGGTTATGGTATTGCTGAAGTTTATCACGAGGAACTCTACGAGCCAGGGTATAGGTATTATATATGCTTCAAACTGAGTAAGGCTTTAAAAAAGTTATTTGGTGAAGAAAACTGTGAGAGCTGTGGCTGTTTTCGTGAATGTGCTAATGCCATGCAATGATGGCGCTTGATTGGAAAGCATCTTGTCATCTTACTTATATATTGTTGAAGTATATTACACACCACGCCCGTATTGACAATTTCAAAACATCTCCAATTTATATAGGAGAGTTTTATATTTAGCCTTACACTTATTATAATAGATTAATCACTGAAATATAGAATTGTTTTTGTATTGTGTCCAAGGTTACTGGAGGATCAAAACTGGAAACTTATACCCTTTTAGCAATAAAAAAGAATGAAACAATTCTTGAGAGCTGCATTTTTGTTTTGAAGTTAACTCACTCGCTGTTCAAATATTTTTATACAATATATAACAATATATCATGCAGTTGTATGAATTTGTAGAAGGAAAGATCTTAAGGAAGTTAATTAAAGTTAAAATTTATACATCAATATTTTTTTACATGTGCCAGTCAAATGCCTGAAAAATGCAGAGGGTTGCGTCTTAAGGAAGAACATCCGGCTTAAAAACCATTGCCAAAATGAAATATGTAAATCAGTTCTTTGTCTTCCATACCAGATCAGTCGCACAGCCTGCTGAAAATGGAATTGAATTACTGTAGGTCTGCAAAGAGGAGAAAACGTATCTTCACAAAGAAAAAGTTGACGAATGAGTGTCGAGCACTACATGAAGTAAGAACTTTAAATTTTGGGACAGTGTAAGTAAAAGCTAGACAGTTGGTGGACATAATGTAATGGGAAAAAGTAAATATCTAACTCTATGACGCGTAGCTGGAATCGGTATTAATTAAATTGACTAATCTTGTCCTTTGCCGACAAAAGGATTACGTGTTTAATCTGTCTCTGTTTTAAGTGTCATCTCTAAAAATAGGGATGACATTGACCTTTTGTAACATTATAAATATAGCATGATTTGGAGGTTCTCATTTAGCAAACGTTGACACCTGACGAGTAGTCTGTCGAAATGCATAGTGTCTCTTTCTAGCTGTAAATAACGGTTCCTTTGAATTGTTGGGTTAGTGTTCTGGTTAAAACAGTTCTTTTAAGAACTAATACATTGTTATTATCACCATTCACCATAGTATTTGCTATTTTCAAATCCATCTTTAAGTTTGTCACCACGACAAAGTCTCTGTTTCATTATTTAGAGAATAAAAAGTCAGTAATGTGCGTGAAGTTAAAAATTAAAGGTTTGATGTTTAATGCAATAGGTGGTTCATATTAAGCTCCAAATGTAGAATGCAAATTAGAGGAAGATATTTTTTTAGTGCCAAAGATGAAATGGTACAAAAAATTTCATGAAGTGTGAGGATAGTTATTGGTTCTGACTTCAAAGGACATGTCGATGCAGGCAACCGAGGTGATGAGGAAATAAAGAGCAGGTTTTGCGTTCACAATAAGAACATAGAAAGACAGTTGGTGGGGAAGTTTACGAAAATAATATAAATGGCTGTATTAAATAGATTTTTTCATAAGGGAGACGAACATCAGGTGAATGTAGTGGCAGATGAGCCATGGGCGTGTAGCTAGATAGCACAAAATAATAGTGTGCGCGATAGCTATAGCTGAAAGGATGATAAATTAGACAAGGATATTAAAAAGAAGAAAGTATTAGATACTGAAAAAGAAAGAGTGTTGTGTAGTTTATGTGGAGAAGTTGAAACAGCTGTAAGTGATCAGGATGTGCTTCCAGAGGACTGGCTATTCTAGCAAATGTGATCTGGGGTACGGATAGAAAAATGCTTGTATGTTGTGAGGAAGTAAAGTACATCAGGACGTTCGGTGGAGGAATGAAGAAGTGCAGGAGTGTGTCATAAGAAAAAGAATGGAAAGAAGATATGGAGTCTTCTTTCCACTCACATTGAGAAAACTGAACAAACTAATTGTGATTTTGTTATATATTACACGTGGTTGAAATTTAACCTTTAAATTTTGAATAAATATTTTCTTAACTAATGAAGCTTGTGTAATGTACTTCGTTTTATTAAAACATTCGCTCTTTGACCAGCGGTATACGATCCATGTGGAATATAACAAAATAGCTAAAGATAGTAAAATGGAGCACAAATACAATATCGTAATGTTAAATTTGTATTAGCAAAAACAAAACAAAAGGTATATGATGACTTGTTTTATTAATAAGATTGTGGAGAAGGAAAGAATGATTCATACAGATTCGCAAGGTTAAATATAGAGATGCAAAAGATATGCTGTAAATTAAAGTTATGATGGAAATCTAATAACAGATAACAAAAGTGTGATAAAATGGCATGAGAAAAATAAATTCTATGTGTAAGAGAGGTGATTGCTGTAGATAAAAATGTTGTAAATGTTAGTAAAGATGAAGTTTTGAGATTAAAGATTCTTCGACCAAGATGAAATACCTGTGAAAACGTGAAAATGTTGAGGAAATGTAGTACAGGAAATACACACAATACAATGACGTAAGAACCAGATAACAAGTACGGCCAACCTGACGTTTACTCCTCATTTGACTCTAAAGATGACTACCGCTAAGGTTGTCGAAACGTCAGTCAACAACAACAAAAACAGTCCTTCTCAGGACTATACCAACCTGGACGACCTACATCTACAAACATGTAACGGTACTCCCGGGTTCAAACCATTTACTTTAATATTAAATTTCTCGCCATGTCACATGTAGCTATGCAGATAGTCGTTTGTGCATCATTTAAATAGATTATTAAAACAATAAATAATAATATCGTTATTAGAAAACAAATGACATCCCATTGTATAATGACAACTTGAATTATCACGTATATTTACTGACATTTCTTCATCCGGTAATTTTCCTGTTCCGACTTTAATTTTAAGTAACTTAAAGCTTTAATAAAGTAAAGGGTTTGAACCCGTAAAAACATTTACAAACATTAAAGCTTTAATGTTTGTAAATGTAGATCGTCCAGGTTGGTATAGTCCTGAGAAGGACTGTTTTTGTTGTTATTGACTGACGTTTCGACAACCTCAGCACATTCTCAGAGTCAAATGAGATAAATGTCTGGTTAGCTGTATTTGTTATCTGGTTCTTACGTCATTGTATTGTGTGTACAGGAAATGTTAATCATTGTGAATTAGTGAAAGTGAAATATTTTATTTTATGCTGTGTGTGATTTAGTGTGTTTTTAGTTGTAATGTGTGGAAATCAATTGTGTATTGTCATTGTGAATTAGTGTGAAGTGTAATGTTTTTAGTTGATCGTTTGTTTATATTGTGAACAAGTCGTTTGTAAGGTGCCGGTAATTGCTGTGATCTGTTCAGGGGGGTTTGTTCCAAGTTGGCATACCAACTTTCTAATGTAAGCCGTTGTCTATAGTCAGTACTGTAAGTAATGCATTTGCCGAGTCCCAGTGTGTTGTGCTTTGTGATTCGGTGATGTTCGGCAATGATTAGTTTGTCTTGTTTCTTAGTAGCCCGCTTGTGTTCAGTAAGTCTTATGTTTAAGTTCCTGCCAGTTTCCTGATATAGGAGGCGTGGCAGTCGGAGCAGTTTATTTTGTATACTGCACCGTTCGTTTGTTGTTCTTTGTCCTTATGTTCGTTAGTACTTGTCGTAACGTTGTGATTAGTGACCTTGATTTGACGCATCATCTAACGCGAGCAGAAATGAATTTTAAACCAATGCGCATGTGCGTGCGTCGTTGAGTTTGTCGTGCTTCTACGCGGCGTCTTTGCTTAATCCCACGTCGTCCTACATCGAAGATGGAATTTTTTCACAAAAAGTTTTAAAGTAAGTATTCAGCTTTTAATTCACCTGTTACAATTGTCTGTGGAGTCTGGTATGTGATTGATGTGTTGATATTTATCTGTGAGTAAATATGTTTACATTTTGCTTTAGCAAAGGCAAGAAATGGCAGAACAGTTTTCATCAGCATCAAGTGATTGCTCATCAAGTACACCACGAAATTCGCCGTGAGTTAAATTAATTGTTTAGCTAAATTAACATCCAGTGGCTTTGAAATTTGTCTTACTTTGTAATAACGGTTTGTGTTCCCCTTTTATGTTTGAATAAAAATACTATGCAACGAGTACTCATATATCAATTTTGGCTACTATATATTTCTAAATTGGTTTATGTGCGACACGTATGTTATATGGTCGTAGGACACGCGAGATAGTCTCAGACGTACCTTTGATGTAAGGTATCGTTGATGTTGTCACTGAGTTGTTCGCTTCGTTGGGTTCGTTGGGTTTGTAAATATTTGGAACATTCAGAATTAGAGTTATAAGTTGTCTTATATCTGTAATGGCGGCAATCTCCGTGGTGTTTAATGAGGGTTTTGTACAAGTAGAATGGAATTAAGTGGAATACTGGTGAACAGTGATTTTACATCAAAGACACTGAGTATATAGTTGTCCGTATTTGTATAGTGCTCCAGTTTTTAATGAAAGTTTCAGTGGATTGTAGCTTGTGTTTTGATTTGTTTGTAAGGAAGTGGTTGCAATTATGTCAGTCAAAATACTGAGAGTTCGTAAATTAGGCGAACCAAAAGATGATACAATTTGTCGCATGGTATTTGTGGTTTGTGAAGTTTGGTAGTCCGTATAGTCTGGGTGGTCGTGGTACTGAACATCTGGAATTGCACTTATGTGAAAAATCTTGTCTTGCATTGCCATGTATATACTGCAGCTTGGAACGTTTTCGCATTGTCCGAATAGACCAGCAAGGACGACCTCACCTTGCTATAAACCGTTTTTAGACTTTTGGAAAGAAGTTGTCTCAAGACTCTTCAACAATTAAGATAGACTTCTCGCGTCAAACTGGAAAAGAGCACTAGATGGGCTTTCTTCTTGATTTTCCTAATTTACATCGGACCGAAATCGACACCAGACTTTATACGGCGTGGTTTCTTCTGTTCGAGTCTTTGGTAAAGGGCAGGTATTGGAGCTTGATACGGTTTGGTCGTGAATCTCTTGCACCTGTAGCATCTCTTCCTTTGCTTTTTGACTAGTCGACGACCGGGAACCTGATACCTTCACGGACCTTTGCCATCGTAAATTATAACTCCCCCATGGGTGTTTCCAAATTAATGCCTCTTCCACTAACTTCACGGTGAATAGAGCATCATCAGGCAAGTAAATAGGGAACTCCTGTATCCGACCGACATCTTAAAAATCTTGTCACTCGTCAGGTTGCACATTAACTGAATAAGATCCGTTTGAGACTTTGGGTTTCTGCGACTCCGGCTTGTACCATTTTTATTCATGACATGTGTTGCTCTTCCACTTCTTCAGATGTCGGTGGCCCGTGCCTTCTACCATCGCTGTTTTGTCGAGCATTATCAATAAATCGTTTCACTCACGCCCCAATACGGATCGCCTTCCGCAAAGGATGTTTTTCAAGAACATCACTGAATATTGCAAAATCTGACCGCTGGATAGTCGTGCTCAAAACTACTCTCGTCGCCTTTGCTTCACTTTGGGAGTCAATCGACGGTTTGACTGCAAGACTTTTTGCCACTCGATGCGACACGAATTGTTTATAATCACCCTCTCCTTTAACCCACCATAAAGCTACAGTACTATCTGACCAGTAGTGTTTTCTGTGTGGAATGTGTCTCAGCGCATTGCGAGTATTCTAGACCAAATTTGCGGCCATATGACTTGCAACAAGCTCTAACCTCGGGATAATCAATCCTCTTATGGCAAGTCTTGATTTCGCTGCTTATTTAGTGGTGGCTCCAGATGGTTTGTGCCAGACGACTGCGCACGACAGCCCGCTGGCATCCCCAATTCACGAATCTCTAAGCTGGACGGTTCTGGAACGGCCAGAACTGCTCTTGGCACGGTCACTTCGCTTGGTAAGGTGTCACACTTCTCCAGCTCTGCTTCAATTTACAATTAATTAAAGGTAATTTCAGGTCACACACCTCTCAATAGATTTATTTGTCTTGCAAAAGCAGAGGGGATGCAATTCCCATTGGATCATAAATCTTCGTCAGTGACTTAAAATTTTGCGCTTCGTTGGCAATTTCCAACAATGTCCTATTTGTACACTTGACGTATCTTTTTCTTTATTCCACGTTGTACCCAGGATCTTCGTCTCAGTTGGCTGCGCCCCAAATTGTTGTTTGGCTGCTGTTTGCTCTTCGGTTTTTTGCTTACTACCTTCATTCAACTCTTTGCATTTGATGCTTATGAAGGTTGCGTCACACCAAAAGTATCAATAGCTTCCAATTTCAGCTTAAAAATTCTTCATCCACAGTGCATCCTCCTAAAATGATGTCACCAACGTACAGACACCTTCTCAGAGTCTCAACTGCGTCTGGAGCTTTGCTTTTCCAGTGATCAAATGTGTTTGAGAACTCCCTGAAGTAGGAATAGAAGAAGAAACCAATCAAACCTCTCATGAAACGTAGTACTTCTACATCAGCCTGTGGATTTGATTGCCAGTGAAATCTTAAAGAGTCCTAACTTTCGCGTACACGAATTTGGAAAATGCCTTTGAATATCTAGTGATTGCATAGGAAAACTTCGCGCTCTTACCAGCACTTCCACAGCTTGTTATTTAGCGAGGTCCGCGTACAGGCATTCGTTTAAAGAAGGATTCCTGGTGACTTTTGCTGATGCATCGTACACCACTCTCAGTTTTGTGGACTGCGCTGTCGCATACATTACGTCAGGTAATATGCAGAATTCATTACCTTTGCTACGTTAGTTGCTGGTTCAACTATGCTTGTGCTTTTGGTCTTGGATTACTGCGTTTGTAATCTTCAGTTAATTTCTTTCGCTTTAAGTAATCGCACTAAAGATTCCAACGTTCTGATGCTTCTGTTTGTTTGATGGGAAAGTTGGTTTGCGCATGGGATGACCGTCTCGTACCAACCCTCGATCGCGTTAATTGCTGAATTAGTTATACACTATTGATTGGTCGTGTTCAACAGTGTCACTGGGCCAGCATCCAACCTGCAAAGATATTCATAATCCTTCTGCAGAAATTTGGGTAAACAACATCCTTTTACTGTTTGGTTCAACACCAGGGCTCATGGCCAAAGCATCCGAGTTTTGTTTTTTCACGTTGGTTGCTCAGTTTATTAGTGGATTCGTGCGAGTTTTTATCCGTGCATATTCCCCGCTTCCAAAATAATGGACAGGTAATTGAGCTTCCTGATCATTATCAACAAATTTTGCATTCTTCAGGTTATTCAAACTCTCTTTGTAAGTTTCATTGCAAGTGTGGATTGCCACTGTGAGTAACTCTTCTTTCTCCAACCGATCAACTTCACCTTCATTGAATGATCACTGTCTATCCTTCAACTTCCCATCATAGATTTCCAGTCTTGTTGTTTTGATTTTAGAAGCATGTCAACTTTAGTGGTTTGTTTCTCAATTGGTTTCACCTCAACGCATTGAAGTTTAGCAGATATGTATGAGCTTCCACCCTCTGAGTCGATCAATGCACGACATGTAATTCCATTTATCTTGACAACAAGAATAGGGGAAAATTCCTTCGCCAGTACATCCATCTGTAGTCAACACAGTCTGACCTGTTTTTGGAGTTTCTTCTCGATTGGCGACATCACATATGCTCGTATGGTGTCGTTTGTGGCAATTTCTGCATGATGACATGCTGGGGCGAGCGTTAGCATGATGCTGTCCTGCTTTAAAATTGCTCTTCTCTCCTTGACAGTACTGATTACTTTACATTCCCCCGACTTATGATTTCCCTCACAGTAGACGCACACCAACACTAAAATTATGAACTTTTTCTGACCTTCTAGATCTCCATCCAGGTGTGTCGATCTTTCTCTCGCAGACTGGTTCGCCTGGTCCACTGTCTGACTGCTCCAGTAAGCTTGGAAAAGTCACAACTTTCCCATTCTGGATCATTTTAACAAGGTCCCCACGTATGGCTGGAGTTTGCCAAGAGTCATGGACATTTCCTTGGACATCTTTCAGTTTACCCAGCGTTTCGGCTTGGACACTGTGATTTAACTTCGCACTAAATTCGGCAATCTTTCTCGGGTTTGTCCGTAGATATGAGGCAAGTCCATGATCTCTTTTATGTAAGCTTTTATAATTTCCGAATTCTTCATACTGATCTTTTAAATTTGACTTCGCTCTATTGTATCCTTCGGTGGCAAGCGGTAATGTTCTACTCGTCAGCTTAATTTGAGGAAACCACACAGATATGTGAATTTGTTGATGGCAGCTATATTTGACTTGTCCACCGTCTCTGTAAATTGTCCCCAAAATCTGGGCCAATCCATGTATTCCCCCTCAAATTTCGTAATATTTATTTTTGGTAATCTCACCGACATACCTTCATCACTTATTTTTGAGTCCCCAGACTTTGAATTTTTGCATTTACTTGAGCCTTTGTTTCTTGAAGCTTTACTTCAAATTTAAGTTGCTCCTCGTGAGCGTGATTTTCCTCTTCTAATTTCCTATTGTTCAGCCAATGTTGTAGCTTGTTTATTTCGTCTTCGGCTTTGCTTATTTTTGTTTCGATTTCCGCATTCCAATCGCTGATTTCTTCAAGGTCGTCTTCTTTTTCGATTTTCGCTGCTTCTACAGCTCTTTTAATATTTTCAGCTTCGTTTATAGTTGTTTTGAGTGCGTTCAGTTGTCGTTCGATAGTTTGTCGCTTTCCCGAATCTAATATTTTAACTGTTCTTTGAGCAGATAACTTCAGTTAAGTTATTACTAATTTTATGTTGAGTTTTGCTTCGTCGTTTGCCATGTTTGTATGGGACGCGTAATATCTCGTACGAAATTTTCACAATTTATCACAATAACAATCCTTCGTCGGTAGGTGCCACGTATTCCGAAAATTGACCTCCGTCCCAATGTCTTCGGAACACGAAGAATAATCACAATAACAACTTTGGTTTCCTAAACAATTTTTATTCTTACTCCTCAAAGTATCTCGTTTCTCTTCTTGTCTCGCCCCAACCACTTCCGTTCTCCACTTTCTCTACTTCCGTTCCACACATGTTGTCTGCATTGTTCCCTATCGTCCCCGACGTACCCGAATGTACCATTAAACGCAACACAACTTTAACATAATTTGCAACAATATATTGTACATGTTTGTAAATGTAGATTGTCCAGGTTGGTATAGTCCTGAGAAGGACTGTTTTTGTTGTTGTTGATTGACGTTTCGACAACCTTGGCGGTAGTCATCTTCAGTGTCATCTTTTTGAGTTATTGAGTTATTGACGTTGTATTTTTATTGAAATAAAAATTATTTACGAGAACACAAAGTTGTCGATAAGGAATTAAATTTTTACTTCTTATGAAACAACAAAAAGTTTTGAGATTAACATTGTTTTTGTGAAAACGACGTCGTTCCCGTTATACTTGGCTGTTTACTTGACAGTTGTTTTAAATATTATAAAAACCCACTTTAAGCAGAAAATTTCCGTGACAATATTAGTTTATCTTTATTACTATAAAAACTGTTGTTTATTATATATCTTTCACGACAATTCAACATATAGGTCAACATTATTATTTATTACTGTGACATGGGAAATTACGAAAAAGCAAAAGACTTTCATGAGCGAGCGATAGAAATTCAAACGAAAGCATTTGGACCTGACCACGTTAGTATAGCGACAACGTACAAAAATCTGGGTTTGGTCTACTGACACATAGAGACGAAGCTTTAGATCCAGACAAACGTTTTCAGTTACAACCATGGTAACACAGCTACAACGTACAAACTGAGTTAAAATCAAAGACTTTAAAAGCAAATGTATATATGAAAGCATCGCGTAGAAAAGGAAAAACGTTTTATTTTGTCCTAAAACAGTAAGTTTACATCGCAAAATAAATTTTATATCTTTTGATGAGTTTAATAATATTGACTACAAATCAAAAGTAGCTATCATGAATAAATACAATAACAATCACAATGTGTATTATGGCTTTACATAACAATCTATTCTTTAGCCAATTTAAATTCCATTGCTCAGTTTAATTCCTCATTTAACGGCGTGAAGGTTGGTTATTAAACGCATCTTCCAAGAAAACGTGCTGAAGTCTGAGGTAAAGAATAAGTTCATCATTAGTAGAAGGGGTTGAAACGAACAAGAAATATCGTCTTCAAAAAAGGTAAGTTTTTATGATATGTAAAATTTGGAAACTTGGAATAATATTAAATTGTTAAGACACAAAGTCCTCAGACAAAATTTCACTGACATATGAAAATTGATGCATTACAAAGTGATAAACTTTGAGATTGCAAACGTGTTTCTAACTAAGTCGTCCTCGAAAAATTAATTCGCTATAATTCAACATCACAGGCCAAATAAAGCTGAGAGTTTCAACGAATAAATCAGTTTCTTTCGTTATTTATAAAGTTCGTTCGAAATAATGTGTTCAATCATACGCATTGCATATACATACGGACCAAAACTATAGTTTGTTTCAACTTAAAAAATGTAAAGTGCACCTTTATCTTAACAATGTGCATGAATTCAAAATCTGTTAAACCATCGAGGACATATATTTGCTTGCTCATAATGTATATAGTTAAGACGAGGAAGTGAGTCAGTGATATTACAGAAAGAAACAAATTGAGACACTAGATAGAGCGTGATTTTTAATAAATGTCTCTACCAACATAAATATAATTTTTATTTACAAGAATTATAGACTAAGTTAAAAAATGTTCACTTTAAAGGAAAACATTTTAGTGTTTGTCATCGTTCTCTTTTTATGCATGATTGGCTTAAATATGTAAACATTCTTCACGAAAATCTTTACGAAAAATTACCGTTTATATGAAATGATATGAACAGAAATCGCACGAGGCTTAGATGATCCACAAAAGAGGCAAAGTTTAGAGCAGCCTATATTTGCTAGTATCGATTCATTGGTTCAATTGCTCGAATTTTCTCAATTTTAAACATTACGTGTATGGTTAATGCTGCGTTAATTATTGCTGTGTCGCGAAATTGACTTTAAAATCAAAACGTATGAATATAAAAGTACTGGAGAAGAGAAAAAACGTTTTATATAGTTCTAACCAAGCATGCTATAATTTAAGCAATGCAAAATTAAAGTTCTTATATATTTTTAATAATTTGCTCAAAAAACAGAACAAAAATGCATTAATAAAATTAAAAACATTAAGGATAATTAAATTCTGTTGCGCAGTTTAATTTGCCACATCAATGTAAAGGTCAAAGTAAAAAGTTTATTTCCAAAGATTATTGAAAAAGTGAAAGTTGAAGATAACGATGGACAAACATACCTAATCATAAAGTATAAAGTGACAAAAAATATACAACAATGAATAAATATCGTTGTACAAAAACGGTGAGTTATTGACGTTGGGTTTGTATTGAAATAAAAATTATTCACGAAAACACAAAGTTGTCGATAAGAAATAAAATTTTTACTTCTTATGAAAGAAAAAAAAGTTTTAAAGGACATTGGCAACGAAACTTTTTATGGCATATTTTTGAACCTTTGTGATGTCTAACAACTAAAATAGAAAAATATTTTCTCAAAAATATTTTGTTGCTGAGATATTTGCAGCAAAAGTTTTATAAATTGCGCCATCTTGGATAAAATTTTGATAAAATTATCTCGAGCGGTAGTGACGTCATTGGCTGGTGAGCAGTCAAAACAACAATACTGTGATTGACTGCGTTACAACACATTTAAAGCGTATTTTACGGCTTTTTGCTGTAATGGATGAGCACGAAAATCAACCGGGTGAGGTTCTGCCCTATCAATATGAACCTGAATTGAAGGCCGAAACTAGTGAAGAAAGCGGTTCCGAACAGGAGAGTAAGCAGAGCGACTTGTCCTCGTCGGATGAAATACAATGCTGAATTTGAGAAACAAATGCTTAGCGCCTTCAACTCTTAGTTGGTGTAAGTGGACATTGTACTTTGTCAAAAAGGCAATCGAGTGTTTTGGCCACAAAGCGCTTGAATGATGGTATATAAGAGGCTTTGCTGAGGCAAACAAAGGAGTAAATTGCTTGACAACACACCAAGAATTAAGGGACAATATGCTCTCAGAAAGTGTGATAAAGATAGACGTGTGTCGGCATCTTGAAGAAAACTGGCCTGTCTGATGAGGATCTAGAGAGAATACAAGCTGTATCGATTAGTTGCTATCAAAGATGTTCTAGGTGGATTTTCAAATTTTGGGAAGAAACATCGAAGACCATTTCCCTGTTTGTGTTAAGTACTTCGCGTCACCAGACGGACTTTATACACATTTTAAATACGCTTGTTATCACGAAAGACCGTGTAATTAGTCTTAGACAGACGCTCTTTGATGTTCTTTGTTATGATCTGCAATTGCGATGCCATATCATTGTCAGGATTGTCACGAACTGCGCAAAAGCAAAATGCATGAGTCTTCCACCCAAAACTTGTATTCATTCATAGAACATAAAGTTAATCGAAAAGTATTACTTGTGTACATTGTGCACGCAAACACGCACGTAAAACATTACGGATAAACGAAACTCTACAGTCAAGAACAAAACATAGCGGCTTAGAGCTTATCACCTATATAAAACTACATAATCTTTCAAAGACTCTTATGTATATAAATAAAAAATTATTACATATATCATTTGTTGTTGGTCACAGGTTTGTAATAAGGAAAATGAAATATTTCTATTGCACGAATGTTCAGTGTATAAAACGCGCTTATTGTTGTCTGGGCTTACACTTGGTATGTCGGCAAAACCTAGTTGTAAGATCTGCTAAAATAAACGTTTCTACGTCTTATAACAAACTAAATATTGGAAAGTATATATAAGCGTGATAAACTACACAACTTTTTGTTAACAACAACCGCCGACTGTTGTTTTGGTATAAAATTCCAGTGAACAAATGTGCTTTATATTATTATAATACTAGTATTTTATATTGTGTCATTCAGTGGATACCAGCCAATGACGTTAGTAATGTATTCGGCATAATTTAGCATAAGGCTTTTTCAAAATGGCGGATAAGGATTCAACTTTATGTCAAATTTTCTCAACAGCAAAATTCAAAAGAGACACGAAAACATGAAATTAAGTATTCCATAGCTATCTATCATAAACGTATGAAAAAAAAATTTTCGTTGCCAATGTCCTTTAAGATTAACAATGTTTTTGTGAAAACGACATCGTTCTCGCTTTTCTTGGATGTTTACTTGACAGTTGTTTTATATGTTATATATACTCCCTTTAAGCAGAAAATTTCTGCGACAATATTAGTTTATCTTTATTACTATAACAACTGTTGTTTACTACATTTCTTTCACGACAATTCGACATATAAATCAACATTATTATTTATTTTATTATGAAAAATGATTAACTGTTTTTTATACTCTACATAAAAATACATTCTTTCATGGTAAAATTAAATTTGCATGTTACTGCATGACATAATTTATCAGTCGAACATTACTTTAACTCTTTGGCGACGGCAAAAATTTATGCAACATTTCTTAATAACTTATATATTTCCGGAAGTGATTGTTTTATTACAAATATATTTCATTAAATACTAAAGCTTTTGTAAAAAAAATTACACCATTAGATAGCCTGTAAAAAGTGTTTTCTGGGGATAGAAGTTTTAGTACTTGGAAATGTTTTATAATCATTAAAATCGTTGTTTCTCTGCCTTCAACACCATGCATAATTATAACGCAATGAAACCAGGGGCGGATCTAGACCGATGCAACCGATGCGAATGCATCGGTCAAAATATTTAGATATTAAAATCTGCGAGTTTGCATTTTAATGAAATAAATAGCAAATATTATTTTCAATTATTTTTGCACATTTGACAGTGATATATTGTTTAGTTTATAGATTTAGCAGTTTTAAGCTAAAATTTGTTCTAGAAATAACATTTGTTTTCTCCGATAATTTTGTCGTATTCCATGACACAAATAGCGAAGAAAAGTCGATAAAATTTGAAATTTTGTCGTGAATACATAATTAGTAAGTAATTTAATAGTATTCTGCCAGCACGTCACGGTAGATGGAAGAGGCATCGCTACGTCACAGTTGCGATGCATCGGTCGATGCATCGGTCCCGAGTCCTTTTCATTCTGTGACATCAGCAAAACCATTGTTTGGGGCCTCACGTCACGGTAGATTTGCCGCTGAGCGATGCATTTTCCATAATTTTGTGATTGTGGGCACATAGGCGATGCATTCAACTTTGAACTTCAAGTTGAATGCATTGTTATTTGATCACTTGATATAACTCGCAATCATTGATCGAAGTCATGGCTGTCGAGAATATCAAACACGATCTGTGTACTCTGCTTCGAGAAGAGAAGTCATTTGATATTAATGAGTGCGTCGAACCTATGAAACGAGAGCTGCTACTTTTATTTCAAAATCCTCTCCTTGGAATCCCTTTTCAAAGGGTAAAAATGGGAGAGATATGTCAAGTGAAATGTTAATACCTAAGCACTTGACAGTTGATTGGCCAAGTGGAGAACTAAGAGCTTTAAAGTAAGTAAATTTACCTTTATGCTTGCATGTTTTAAATGTAAATAGTGTACTCATTTCAGACTCTGAGTGTAGTCGTGTAGATAACGACGAACAATCATCATAAAATATACACGATGTCATATTACTTATGCAGCACTTATACTTGTATTCATATGTAATATAATACAAACTGTAATATGCAGGGGTAGGTGCGATTTTAGTTGCATTTTAGTTTATGTATTGTATGGATTACATTAAAAATGTAATGACTGTATTCCTTCTTCCAATATACTTATGACTTCAGCACGTGAATACTACCGCATGAAACTAACCATCCCTCTTCTTGATACAATTCATGACCGATACTACGAAGCATCGTACGCAGCTCAGCTGATACAATTCATGACCAATACTACGAAGAAGCAGTGGATTTAGCAAACAGAGTAAACGTTGATGAAAAAATTCCTCGACTTTGCAATGTTCAGACAACTCGTGAAAACTATCCTGCACATACAGCACGTGAATACTACCGCATGAAACTATCCCTCTTCTTGATCACTTGATTGAACAGATGGAATTTCGGTTTCCTTCAGAGGTGTGCAATATTTATCGTGGATTCTATATTATACCTAGTATTTTCTCAATTGCAAGGACGTTAATTGGAAGGGAAGAGTTTATGAAGTTTGCTGTTGCATATAAAGAGGATATGCCACACTTTCGGAAAATACATGCTGAATTAGGATTGTGGAAACAAATTGGAAAGGGGCTTTGAGAAAGTTAAGTACGATTCAATTGCCGACACGCTTCGAACTTGTAACAAACTTGCGTTTCCAAATATATTTACAGCGCTTAAGATACTCGCTGTTGTGCCAGTCACTACATGTGAGTGTGAAAGATCCGTTTCTGCCCTTCGTCGAATGAAAACTTGGTTACGTAGCACAATGATCAACGAAAGGTTAAATGATTAGCCCAAGTGCATATTAATGATGATATTAAGTGTGATGTCGAAGAAGTGATTAATACCTTTGCTAGACAAAACCCAACGAGGATGCAATTTCTTGATATCCTGGAGGATAAAGAAACAGATGCTTGACGATGAGCTCCATGAGAAATTCTTAATGCTGATAAACAACATACATTTTCTTTGAGAGTTATCTTGTTTTCAGCCGTTATTGAGAAGACGAAGACCACGTTTAAACATTGATTTTCTTAAACATTCCATCTTTGCTGTGGTTGGAAGAAGACGATCTTTCAACATTGCTTTTATAATTGTTGTCATCTTTGCTGCCGTTAGAAGAAGACCATCTTAGAACATTGCTTTTATTAAACTTTTCATCTCTTTTACCGTTGGAAGAAGACCACCTTTGAACATTGCTTTTATCAATGCTGTTATCTTACAAAAGACGGCTCATGTTATTTTTTCGATAAAATTTACGCTTAAGATTTTTCTGTCACCTTTCCCAAATCGCTGGAAAATGCTTCTCGGATAGTGAAAATTCAAAAATTTTCTGGGGGAGCATGCCCCCAGACCCCCCTAGCGGTGGCTCGCGCCTTCGGCACTCGCAATGCATCGGTCAGCTAAGGAGCTGGATCCGCGCCTGAATGAAACCCTTACCCGAAGTTAGTCGGAATTTTAAAGCTTTATGTTGTAGATATGGCAAAACAGAGTAAGCCATGAGAAAATTCACTCAATTTTCTGTAGGTAGATGAAATTGCAGCTTTTCACAACGAAAATTAGTGCGGTTTTGGGAATTGAGTAATAATTTTTACAGAATGTTTTTTCAATCGCAGCGTTTGTTGCCATGCAAACAAACAAACAAACAACATTTGTATACCGGCCAGTATTAATCCCCGCCAGGGGGGTTGACCGATCCATGAATTTTTCCACGCCAAACGTCTCTATCTCTCGCCATATCTCTCGTTATTCCCATCGCCTTCATATCACTGTTCACAGCATCCATCCATCTCTTTCTCGGTCTACCTCGTTTGCGGACTCCATCAACATTCATATACAACGTTCTACGAATTTCAGCACTTTCTTCCCTCCTTTCCACATGCCCAACCACCTCAAACGCTGGCGCTTTACCCAATTCTCGATACACTCAACACCAACTCTTTCTCTAATCTCTTCACTTCGAATCCTATCCATCAACGTTACACCACACATCATCCTAAGCATTCTCCTTTCCGTCGACGCCAATCTTCTCAGGTCCTCTGCTTTTGGCGCCCAACACTCTGCTCCATATCCCAAAACACTTTTAACACATGCCTTATACAATTCTCCTTTCTGCTTCAACGAAATGGACTTTCCGCACAACATTCCCGACAACTCTCTAAAACTATACCACGCTGCTTGAACTCTGTTCCTCACTGCTTGCTCGCACCCTCCACCATCATTTAACACATCGCCTAGATATTTAAACTCCGATACACCTTCCAAACTCACGTCATCCAGTTCAAACCGTTCAATCGTGACTCGCCCACCACTTCGACACGTCCCGCACTCAAAATCAGTTACTCTTGTCAATGCACCACGGACACCTGAACATCTTCCATGAACCCACTTACTGCATTTCCCACACATTATCGAATTCACTCCAACTCTTTTCCCACACACACCACATGGCCATTTATCACTGTCCTTCGCCTCCACCTGCCTCGAGCATCTCATGCCCTTCGTCTTTGCCTCATTCACTTTCAGTCCCTTGACTTCTATTGCCGTTTTCCATTCTCGGTACCATTCCATGACTTTCTGCTTCGACTCCGCCACCAAGACAATGTCATCTGCATACAACAAACATCCTTCTTTTCTTCTCACTTCCTCTGTCAGTACATCCATCACACAAGCAAACAGTAACGGCGACAAGACTGAACCTTGATGAACACCAACTTTTACCTCAAAAACACCAGATCTAACACCTTCCTCCGTAACCACCGCCTCTACACCTTCATAAGTCTCCATAACTGCCCGAACCATATTCTCTGTCACACTTTCTTACGCAGCGCGTACTCGATCCTGCTTCTCGGAACTCACACCTTCCAATTCCTTCCTCCCTTCTCCACATCTCCTCATCTGCCTCCCATTATGAATACCTCTCCCCATCCATTTCTTCCCTCCTTCTTTCCATTTTCTCTCTACTATCTTCAACGCATGCTCCATCAGCTTAATAGTCCTGTTCCCACATACCGTCGCTGCTCCTTTCCTTTGTACAGCGGGACCACTAGACTCTTTCTCCATGTACTCGGCATCTTTGAGCCCTCAAAACCTCGTTCCATTACACAACTCTCACGCATAGTTCATTGTCCAACATTTCTTACCACTTCACTCGGTCCCGTCGCCTTTCCTTTCTTCATCTTGCACAGAGCCGCCGCCACCTCATCAACAGTCACTATTTCCCACGGCCCCAAACTTCATCCGCTTCCAACTTCCCATTCCACTCATTCTCTACATTCATCAAACGGTCACAGTACGCCCTCCACACTTCTAACCTGTCTTCCACAACACCTTCAACTCCCCATCGTGGTTCTGCGCCGGAGACGCAAAATATCTCCTCTTCTCTTCTTCCAGTTCTAAACAACGCGTTTCGTCCATTCTCCTGCATTTTACGAGCTCTTTCTGATGCCTTTCTTCGCTTTAACCACCTCCTTTCGCGCCTTTTTCTGAACCGGATAATCGATCCTATCTCTGCTTCAGTCCGCCACTTTCTCCACCTTTTAAGCCAACTTCTTCGCGCCAATCACTTCGCTGACTTTGCTGATCCCACCACCATGCCTGTTCTTCTATTACACCGCTTTTACTTTACAACTACCTTCTCCGCCTTTAAACACCCTTCTCAAGCACGTCCATCGCTCTCCACCGTCTCACCTCAACATTCAATGTTGTAATTTCGTCACGGAAACACTGCTTCCTTCATTCGATCGTAACATGGCTTAGCCTGCCTTTACCCTCAACCTTCTTCACCTTCCTGATTCTCCAGTCCATGACCAGCAGCTTGTGCTGGTCACACATTCTTCTCCTGCAATCACTTTGCATCCTTCATTTTCTCTTCTTCATTCACCAGTATATAATCCCCACCGTCCTACTGTCACCAGATTCATACGTCACAAGCTTGCTTTCTTCCTTTATAAACCACGTATTCACTACCACCATCCCACAACTCGCTGCTAACTCCAATATCGCCTCGCCTTCAGCATTCATATCACCAACTCCAAAACCTCCATGCGCACAGTATCCTTTTCTTACGCTTCCCACATGACCGTTCCAATCACCAAGCATCACACATCGGCCTCTAATGTCTGCTCTCACTGCATACACGCTGTCGTAGAACTTTTCCTTCTCCTCCGCACTTCGTCCAACCTGCGGAGCATAAACCACAACGAAACTCATAACTTCGGCCTCAATAACTACATCAACTCTCAGGACTCTGTCCGAAACTCTCTTCACTGCTACAACCGACTTCGCCCAATCCTCTCTTATCGCAAAGCCAACACTATTCGTGCCACTTCCGTTTCCCTTCCAAAACCACTTAAATCTCGATCCATTATCTTCACCCTTTATGACTCTCGTACCTTCATCTTTAAACTTTACCTCCTGAAACCCACACACATCAACTTTCCTTCTCTTCAACATGTCCGCCACTTCTGCACTCCTTCCCTTCATTGTCCCAACGTTCACTGTGCCTACCCGAAGGGTGACACTTCCACCAACATTCGATCCGGAGATTCTTCGCACCCCCTGCCCACTGAAGGGCTGCCGGGACTGGGGGCCATATCTTCTTTTCCAAAGTTCATGATTTTTGTTGGAGCAAAAGTTTTACGGTAGGATGCCCTTCCTTACACCAACCCCTTTTAGTCGTCTTTTAGACACGCAGAGGATACGTTGGCGCAATTCTAAGCCGGCAACCACACGTTTGTTGCCATAGCAAAACGTTAAAGAAACCTTCGCTCAAACAGTCTATGTCAATGGCTTTGTTTTTTATAAGACTATGGGAATACTTCATCTTAAGAAAAAAAATGATGCTGAGTCGATTCCCGGTGATTTAAATCATCATCAAAAGTACGAACTATATAAAATGAACGAAAATATTTTAAGTCATATTTGCTGACGAACTATGACGACACCAAACATACCTTGAATTATTGGTATTCTAAAAAGCATATGAAACTTTTAGCGCTTTGAATATATTTTTGGCCGTTTTTTTTTATAATGAATGTGTTCAACTGATTTGATAATCTTTGAAAGAAGTTTAAATGACAAAGAAGTATAATCTGCCTTCTGAGACCAAAAATGAACATATAGAAAGAAAATGTGAAAAATGTCTTTTTTCATAAAAAGTATGGTTTGAAAATAGAAATCTTTTAAAAAAGAAAACATCATCGTATTAATTAACTACACTAAAGTAAATTATCATCATCATTTTTCTCTGTAATGTCATTTATGACTTTAACATTGTGATAAAAAATATTAAATAATGAAACCAATTTCTAACAAAATTAAATCTTTGTGAATGTGGGCAACAATCACTCGAATTTTTATGATTTTGAAAACATGTGAAGCTTAGTGCAACCTGAATTGAGCTTTACATTGATAGGTTGGAATATTTTCACTATGATCATTGTTTAATTGCTGTCATTCTATTGCGTTCAATATTCCTGTGTTGTGCAATTGGGTTAATATAATTAAAACACTAGAATATAAAAATACTGAAGACATAGAAAAACGCTTTATAGAATCCGCTTCATAGAAAGCAAACCATGCATTTTGTAACAATGCATTAGGAAAATGAAGTTTTTAAAACTGTCACGAACAAAAACAATTAAAATCATAAGGTGTATCTTTGATTTACATAAGAATGTATTCTTAGGAGGATTTAAATTCCATTGCGCAGTTTGATAAATCCTAGAGAAAAGTGAAAGATACTTATAAAGTATTTTTCTTTTACAGTTTGTCTGGGAAATGGAAAGTTTAATTCGTCATCATTAGAAAGAGTGAAAGATAAACGACAAACAAGCATTAAACTTGATCACAAAGTATGGCAGTATAAATCTTTGTCGACATTAAGGGTGAGTTATTGATGTTGCGTTTGTATTGAAATCAAATGCTGGGATGCATACTGGGTTTAACGTACGAATAGATTTTAATTAACATATATGTTATTGATGCCTTGAAACGGCGCAAAAACATTTGAGAATGCAAGCGTTATAATATTTTGAATGTAAAGCATTTTTTGAAGTCTGTGATTGTTCTGATTACTTATATTTTTTTATCGAAAAAAATTGATTTTTTAAAAAACCATGTTTGAGCACAAAACTCCGACGACAATAAAGATCTAGCGTTGGCCATCACTTGCCCTAAATTGCTTGAAATTTTGATAGCATGTACAGCACAGTCCATACCTAAACTCAGGTTGGTTAAGTTATTTGTCCAATGATTATTTTTTCTGTGCAAGGCTTGTTTTGAAGAACTTTCAACAGCGGATACTTCACTGTAAAAAAAATCATGCATTTTTAAAATTCCATTGCCAGCTGTACCAGAGAAGTACTTTGAATAACTAAAATTTGTTGCTCTGTCTGCACTCGTTTTAAATCACGATTTCCAAGACTGTACTATTTTTATATAGCCTATATAAGTGCTATGCATCAATCTTCGTTCACGACAATTGGACATTTACAAAAGAAAAGGATTATTCATTTTAAAATAAAATGGTTTCATATGAAGATTCTAACCTATATTGCTATATTATAATCGTTTGACACTTATGAATTTATTTTTGGCCAGTTTTTTGTCTTTAAATGTTTTTAAATATTTTTGTGGTGACCATAATATTCCTAAAATATTGATTCTTTGTAAAAAAACTACAATATTGATGATCTTTAAAAGAAATCTGAAAGGCTGTAACCAACACAGTTTGCTTGCGGAGAGAAAAAAACAACCTCTTTAAAGTTTGTTACAAATGTTATGTCTATATATATATAACATGCTATAAAATATAACAGTTTCAGAAGAGAAAACCGTATCCACAGTGCAAAAATTATGTATGTTGTTGTCTCCAGTCCTGTCTGTATAATCACGTGAATATTTTTACCTTTAAAAACTTTAATTCATGAGATATAGTACTATTCAACATGGCATATGAAAATTCAAAAAATCTAATTATTTGATTAGTAACTTTTACTCAATGCTCTTGTCATGACAATGAATGTCAAATTCGTGGCTTTTGACTGAATGAAAATTATTTGAATGACGAGACCATATAAGTAACTAGCTTTTAATTAAGAATCGTATGAAACTCTTAGCAATATCAAATGTAAATATAATTTTGGCCTTGCAGTTTTCTTGCTGGAAATATTCAACATATTTTACTGTTTATATACCATAACATTTTTTTCACAAAAAATGTGTTGTCGAAAGTGTTTAAAAGAGGTTTTTGCTTCATCACAACAATAGTCAACATCAACAACCAGCTAGGGTCGTAACGAAATATATACACAATAACCGGAGAGCTCGGAGCCTCCAGTCTATTTATTGTCAATAGCATATGCTAATTATATACAGGTGACTATTATTCGACTATTACATCTTTCTTTCCCGGGAGAATTTTTTTTTATGAAGTTCAACTAAATTATTATAGCCATATCCTTAATATGATAACATTTCTTTAACTATTTAAAATATTTGACTGTTCAAAAAAATATACAACTTAAATCTACTTGAATGTTTTCTTTAACTTCAAAAGTTTAAACGATCTGGGGATTTACTTATCGTTCCAGATCTTGTTCTGATTGGTTCTGAGCTGTTTGAACTTGCTGCAAAAGTCGTCACTTCTTCTCGAAATTGCGTTTCACTATAGCTCTCTGTTAGTTGTGCGTCGCTAGCAGAGTGACTTAATTTCTGGTTTATTTTTCGATTTTCTTCGTTATTACTCTCTCTCTCTCGATTTCCGGAACGTGGAGTAAGTGTCTTCTATTTCTTTTAAAAACGCCAATCTTAGTTTGCATATGAATACTCTGATGATGGCTTTGGAATAAAGTCGAAACACAGTGCCATCCAGTAAACTGCTATAGTGGCGAGAATCTCTCGTCCATACGGAGTTTAAAAGAGATTTGACTCGTCTCCAATCCCTGTGGGCTTGGTAGCTCAACAGGTAGAGCGGCGGACTAGTATCCCGAAGGTGCGAGTTCAAATCTCGTCCAAGTCACATGTTTTCATGTGCATATTAAAAACCGTGTTAGGATTAATATAGTTTGCATATTGTATGATCTAGGAGTGTTAGCTGCACCAACAACAAAAGCAGGCTCACTCCATTGGTCATCATTTTCTGTTTTTATACGAACATGATTTTTTTCTTTAAAACAGGCAAAGATTGAGTAGAGTATCTCCTGTCGTAGTAAAACTTACTTCTGTTCTGGCTTATTCCATGGTTTTCCTTTACTATCTATTTGTTATATAGACGAGGCTCGTTCTTTTGAGGTGTTATCGGAAGAGTCGTCCTAATCTTACGATTCAGTATAACCTCGGATGTACTGTAAATGGTGCATCTCATGGTTGTGGATCAATGTATCATTAAAGCTAAACAAGGATCTTCCGGCCGTAGGATATTCTTTGAAATCTTTACTGCACTCTCAGCCAGCCCGTTAGATTGAGAATTATGGACTTGACCTAATGTGTTTCAATCTATAATTCTTTAAGAAATTACGAAACTCTATAGACGAGAGCTATGGTTCATTATCACGTATAACTTTTGTTGGAACTCCCCATCATGCAAAGATGCATTTTAGCTTGGCTATCACGAAAGTTGCCGTAAACGTCGACAAATCTGTGATTTCTAGATGCCAATTGCTGGAGCTCTTTAATACTTTTAGGTGCATACATGTCAACGATAGCTTTCACCTTTGCTGGGTCTGGAGGCACACCGTTTTTTCCAAATCTGTGTCCTAGGAAATTAACTTCAGTTTGTCCCCACACACTTTTCCAGGTTGAGCCTCAAACCAGTTTGATTGACAGCATCAAGAACTTTCTTTAACTTTCCATCGTGCTCTTCCATAGTGCGACCAGCAACTAAGATTTGTTTATGTTTTCAAACATTAGCCATTCAGAACAAAAGGAGTAAGAAAGTTGCTTTTTGTTTTGAGTCTTTTGGGGAGCTACGTTTTTGAGTAAGTATAAAAACCAAAGATTCATGTAAAGCAACACTTTTTCTTCAAGTTACTCGTGTTAATTTTTGAATTATAATCTAGTAGCGAATTGATAAGTTGTTAAAATTCTATCACTTGCTTGGTGTACAGGAATTACCTATTTTACCAGCGAAATTTACCAAATTTTTACACAATGTAAAATGGATTATCTTAATGAGCTCAAAAAATTATTATTTAACACCTGTCATCTTTTTCTTCTCGGAAATGTGTCGTGTAAACCTCCAGCAAGGCTGCTACATTTTTGCATTTTGCGAGTTCTGATTGTTTAATTGTTAAAAATGTAAAATGTAAAATCTTTGGTTTTTTATTTTTTATAATTTGTTTTACTGGATAACACGAGTAAAAATCGACAAGATACGCTTTTTACTAGCATTTGTATGCGTGAGAAAGCCATTACATTTTATACACTCATGTTGCACCGTAATCACAACTGATTTCAATATAAACTGATAAAGTAAAACATGCATATACGAATATTTAGCTACCTCCCTCAATTATCCATCTTTCGCTGCCCTTACCTACAGATGTATTTTTGACTTCGTTTTTTGCTAAACTTTACAGCTTCGTTTGCTTGGCAGAGTTTAAAAAGTTGTTCAAATAATAGAAAAACTGTTCAACATAATACTTATCCCCGAAACAATGATACTTTTTCCTTGCGCTTCACGTAATAAATAAAATGTGAAATATTTGCTTGTTTTCCATCTAGTTTATAAAGGTTGTTATTTTCCAACAAAAGTACCATAAAGAAAAACTTATCATCAAGCTTCAAAACATTCCAGCAGGAGCATTTGGTCTTAAACACTTCTTTGAACTTGCGTCAAGCTAAAACTTGAGTATGGCTCCTAGTATAAATATAAATGAGACGCGTGGGAAAGTAAAAGATTTGCACAAACGACATTTAGAAATTCAAACAAAAGTACTTGATCCAAATCATGTTGATGTTGCACAAACATACCACATCGTGGATGCAGTTTATTACGAGATGGGAGAGTATGAGAAAGCAAAAGACTCGTATGAACGAACTTCGGAAATTGAAACAAAAGCATTTGGTCCTAATAATTTTGACAGTGCAGCAACATACCACAGCCTTGGAAGGATTCATCATGACAAGGGAGAATACGACAAAGCAAAAAAAATGTACCAACAAGCTTTAGAAATCGAAATTAAAGTAGTTGGTCATGACCATATTGTCATTGCAACTACGTTAAACAACTTGAGCTTGGTTTATCATGCTATGGGAGAGTACGACAAAGCAAAAGATTTGTACGAAAAAACTTTAGATATAGAAACTAAAGCATTTGGTCCTGATTATATTGATTGTGCAGCAACATACAACAACCTGGGAAGGATTTATCATGACATGGGAGAGTACGACAAAGCAAAAGATTTATACGAACGAGCTCTGGAAATTGAAACTAAAGCACTAGGTCCTGATCATATTAAGAGTGCAGCAACATACCACAACCTGGGAACTATTTATCAAGACATGGGAGAGTATGACAAAGCAAAAGATTTGTATGAACGAGCTCTGGAAATTTATACTGAAGCATTTGGTCCTGATCATATTACGAGTGCAGCAACATACCACAACCTGGGAACTATTTATCAAGACATGGGACAGTACGACAAAGCAAAAGAATTGTATGAACGAGCTCTGAAAATTTATACTAAAGCATTTGATCCTAATCATATTAAGAGTGCAGCAACATACCACGCCCTGGGAAGCAATTATCATGACATGGGAGAGTACAACAAAGCAAAAGATTTGTATGAACGAGCTATGGAAATTAAAATTAAAGCATTTCGTCCTGATCATATTAAGTGTGCAGCAACATACCACGCCATGGGAAGGATTTATCATGACATGGGAGAGTACGACAAAGCAAAAGATTTGTATGAACAAGCTCTGGAAATTTATACTAAAGCATTTGGTCCTGATCATATTAAGAGTGCAGCAACATACCACGAACTGGGAAGCAATTATCATGACATGGGAGAGTACGACAAAGCAAAAGATTTGTATAAACGAGCTCAGAAAATTTATACTAAAGCATTTGGTCCTAATCATATTAAGAGTGCAGCAACATACAATGCCATGGGAAGGATTTATCATGACATGGGAGAGTACGACAAAGCAAAAGATTTGTATGAACGAGCTCTGGAAATTAAAACTAAAGCATTTGGTCCTGATCATATTAAGAGTGCAGCAACATACCACGCCCTGGGAAGCAATTATCATGACATGGGAGAGTACGACAAAGCAAAAGATTTGTATGAACGAGCTCTGGAAATTAAAATTAAAGCATTTGGTCCTGATCATATTAAGAGTGCATCAACATACCACGCCCTGGGAAGCAATTATCATGACATGGGAGAGTACGACAAAGCAAAAGATTTGTATGAACGAGCTCTGAAAATTTATACTAAAGCCTTTGGTCCTAATCATATTAAGAGTGCAGCAACATACCACCCTGGGAAGCAATTATCATGACATGGGAGAGTACGACAAAGCAAAAGATTTGTATGAACGAGCTCTGGAAATTAAAATTAAAGCATTTGGTCCCGATCATATTAAGAGTGCAGCAACATACCACGCCATGGGAAGCATTTATCATGACATGGGAGAGTACGACAAAGCAAAAGATTTGTATGAACGAGCTCTGGAAATTAAAACTAAAGCATTTGGTCCTGATCATATTAAGAGTGCAGCAACATACCACGAACTGGGAAGGATTTATAATGACATGGGAGAGTACGACAAAGCAAAAGATTTGTATGAACAAGCTCTAGAAATTCAAACTAAAGCATTTGGTCCGGGTCATATTAAGAGTGCAGCAACATACCACTCCCTGGGAAGCAATTATTATGACATGGGAGAGTACGAAAAAGCAAAAGATTTGTACGAACAAACTTTAGATATTGAAACTAAAGCATTTGGTCCTGATCATATTGAGAGTGCAGCAACATACCACGCCCTGGGAAGCAATTATCATAACATGGGAGAGTACGACAAAGCAAAAGATTTGTATGGACGAGCTCTGGAAATTAAAATTAAAGCATTTGGTCCTGATCATATTAAGAGTGCAGCAACATACCACGCCATGGGAAAGATTTATCATGACATGGGAGAGTACGACAAAGCAAAAGATTTGTATGAACGAGCTCTGAAAATTTATACTAAAGCATTTGGTCCTGATCATATTAAGAGTGCAGCAACATACCACTCCCTGGGAAGCATTTATCATGACATGGGAGAGTACGACAAAGCAAAAGATTTGTATGAACAAGCTTTAGATATTGAAACTAAAGCATTTGGTCCTGATCATCTTACAAGTGCAGCAACATACCACGCTCTGGGAGCTATTTATCAAGACATGGGAGAGTACGACAAAGCAAAAGATTTGTACGAAAAAACTTTAGATATTGAAAATAAAGCATTTGGTCCTGATCATATTGAAAGTGCAGCAACATACAACAGACTGGGAACTATTTATCAAGACATGGGACAGTACGACAAAGCAAACAATTTGTACGAGAGAGCTCTGAAAATTGATACTAAAGCATTTGGTCCTGATCATATTAAGACTGCAGCAACATACAACAACCTGGGAAGGATTTATCATGAAATGGGAAAGTACGACAAAGCAAAAGATTTCCACGAGCAAGCCTTAGAAATTCAAACTAAAGTGTTTGGTTCTGAACATATTAACATGGCGTCAACATACAAATGCTTGGGTTTGGTTTACTGTGACATGGGAAATAACGAGAAAGCAAAAGATTTGAACGAAAAAGCTTTGAAAATTCAAACTAAAATACTTGGATCCGGTCATGTTGGTATTGCAAGAACATACAACAACCTAGGTAGGGTTTATGCTAAAATTGGAGAGCATCAAAAAGCAAAAAATTTTTACAAACAAGCTTTAGAAATTCAAACTAAAGTATTTGGTTCTGATCATGTCGATATTGCAACAACACAAGTCAATCTAGGTAGGATTTATGCTGGAATAGGAGAGCATGATAAAGCAAAAGATTTGTACAAACGAGCTTTAGAAATTCAAACTAAAGTATTTGGTTCTGATCATGTTGCTATTGCAACAACTTACAACAATCTAGGTAGGGTCCATCTTAAAATGGGAGAGCATGAAGAAGCAAAAGATTTGTACAAACGAGCTTTACAAATTCAGACTAAAGTATTTGGTCATGATTATGTCGATATTGCAACAACGTGCAGCAACCTAGGTTGGTTTTATTTTTCTAAAAAACTTTATAAAGAAGCTCAACGCTTTTACGAACGAGCTTTAGATATTCAGACAAAAGTTTTTGGTTATAACCATGGTAACATAGCTACAACGTACAACAACTTAGGTTCAGTTCATCTCACCATGAGAGAATATGCCAAAGCAAAAGAATCGTACGAGCAGGGCATAGAAATTCAAACTAAAGCTTTTGGTTCTGACCACGTATATGTTGCTGCAATGTGCAACAACTTGGGTTTGGTTTACATGAATTTGGGAAAGTACGATGAAGCTAAAGATTTGTACAAAAAAGCTTTAGATATTGGTGCTAAAGCTGAAGTTATTGATACAGCTGCAACGTTCAACAACTTGGGTTGTGCTTACAGTAAATTGAAAGAATATGTGAAGGCAAAAGTTAACTTTGAAAAAGTTTTAGGAACCAAATCAAAAGCATTTCCTCCAGAGCAGTTCAACAACGCTGCAGTCTTCCAAAATTTGATTTTAGTTTGCTATGCAGTTAGAGAAAACGACAGAGCAGAAGATTTGTTCAGGCGAGCTTTAAAATATGGAATTGGTCAATATTTTTTGTCTCCTGAAGAAATTACCAAAGAAGTAAATTCTTACAAATTAATCGACAGTGTCATATTGTTGCCAGGTATGAAGACAATTTTAAATGCAGTATTTAACAATAACATGTTTGTAAATGTAGATCGTCCAGGTTGGTATAGTCTTGAGAAGGACTGTTTTTGTTGTTAATGACTGACATTTCAACAATCTTAGCGGTAGTAATCTTCAGAGTCAAATGACTACCTTTAAGGTTGTCGAAACGTCAGTCACAAACATGTAACGATACTCCCGGGTTCAAACCATTTACGTTATTTAACTACTGTTGTATAGCACTTTTTGTTAAAAAAAATTTGCAGTCAAAAATTTTCCAACTTTAAGAGGAACATTTTTTTCTTGAAACAAAAGATAGTATCTCTAAACAAAAATTTATGTAGCGTAATAAATTGTTGCAGACAGCAATTTACCGTAATTTTGGGAATTTACAATAATCAAATCATATTTTTTCGTGGAATATATTTTTATGTACAAGAAATATATTTCCTTTTTTATAAATTACCGCATGCTGGGAATAATGTCATATTGTACGAATTATCGTTTAGATTTGGCAACAGATGAGTTTTTTATAAGTTCAATTTTCCATGCTGAAGAAAACAGAAAACAAGGTAGCTATTTATATGGTTTTTTAACGATCACACTGTTGAAGTTAAAGATTAAAAATTTGACTAAGTCATATTTTACATGCAGTTTTTATTATTAATGAATTAAAAGATTTCTATGGAAAGATTTAAGTATGTATAGGTTATCGTCTTAGACATTTTGCACATCTTGCTCATTAAAACATTTGGGACCATTAATTTAAGAAGTAGGCAGTTTTCGATTGATCACAACAGATTAAATGACAATTTTTCGACAATTCTAAGATAGGGATTGATGAAATATTTTTCAGAAAACATTACCGGAAAAGTGTCTCTACCTGACCCACTGTTTATTCTGAATTTAAAATTATATTAAAATAAGCTCTCTGATATAAATTAATTTCCAACCATTGGCCTTCATCAGATTTTGGAATTGGAAAATTTTGTCCATCCACTGAAGAAATTATTGAAGAAGTTGACAACATGAAATTGTTGCCAGGTATGCAGAAAATCTTGTGTAGATTATATGTAAGCAATATTTATCTTTTGTCAAGATTTAATGCACATGTAAGGAAAGATTGCAAAGTCACGTTTGAATCATATCAGTTTGTTTCTAGTTCAATCATATCAATTTGAAGTTGAAAAAATAAAAATGATCATTTGTTGATGACGAATCTGGATGTTACGGCAACTCTAATAATGAGAGAGCCATTAATCACAAATCTAAGATATAAACCTTAATAACAATCAATATCTAAAGAAATGAACAAAGAAAAATATGTCACTATAGCCTTCCATATAATAAGCTGGCTACAGTATCTGAAACACCACCTGTTGTTTTGAGATTTTAATAGCATGAGCATGTTTATCGGTGAAAACACATAGTACCAATAACATTGTCACATCTAAATGCAATAGAAGTGAGTTTTGAGTTTCGAATCTAAATCAATTTACTGAGTCATATGAATGAGTAATGTGCACATTTTGCAGAAAAGTCAAGTGTCAGAGAGGGATAACAATGATTAATTTTGATCCACCACCGGCATTTATGCAAACATCAAAAAAATGATTGGAGTATTTCTGAGAAAAAAAAATTCTAAATGCTGTAATCTGGAAACTACGTACTCCAATTCATTTTTGTATCTTTAGATTTCACATCTTATCAAATCTTTTTACAAAAATGGTTCAGACAGAAGTCATACAGTAGCTACGTACGGAAGAACCTAAAATACACACTAAAAAGAATATAAAATGTCTAGTGGAAATTTTTTTCAGCTTTCAGAAATCAATTAGCTAAGCTTTTGAATAATATAAACGTGCATTAACATAAAAACAGTTTGATCATTATGATTGCATTATGCAATCTTAGTGTTTTAAATATCAAAAGTAAAACTACTGCACAGTCCTCAATATATTAAGTTAAGTAATGCCAAAGTACTTCCGATTGACTGCAATGGTTTGAAACTGGAAGTAGTTATATTTTAATCTTGTTCATGGCATGCATTGATACATTTTGGCACGTTTTGGCACCATCACACTTTTTATATGTAGCTAATTTATTCACGAGTAATGTTTTTACTTATAAACCTTATTTCTTGCTTTTAGTATCTATAGAAGTACTTTTGCATGGTTTTATTCATGCCATTGGTTATTATGCTATAATTTGCTTTCGTGAAGAAATTATGCATACTTACAAAATCCACCACTAATGACTTATCTACCAATATTGACTATAAACATCGTAAAATATTTACTACGTAATTGCTTTAATTTTAGAAAAGGACATCGACTGTACAATGAAAGCAGTGGCAGATTTAGATCCTACTGTGGACACATCTATGGATCCTGCCACCGAAATGAAGAAACCTGATATATCTCTTGATGATGATGTAGACGATGACGACGAATTCTTTGAGAAGAATTTTCTTGACGAAGACTACGGTATTCGAGATGATGTTCGTAAATTATTAAAGAGGTTTGTCTCAAAGAAATTTACCCAACTTCCTTTATAAATGTTGACTTAAAGAGCATATTTAAAACGGTCAACGCCACTATAACCTATGTAATTTCAACAATGAAAAAAGTTGTAAAAAAGTTTATACATGACACAATAGTTACATTCCTTGCGAACAAACTGAACAGTGTCAAATAGTTGTGAGAAATAGTTACTTGCGCTAAACTTTTAGTAACCACTCATCATGGCGAACACTGTCATCAATACAATATTTATATATTTTGCCATACAAAGTTCTCTTCTCTTTTATATAGTTAAAGTTGCACTTTTTAGCATTCTAGCAGAAAAAACAGGTCGCATTGAAAGGATGCTCAATAACTATGCAAAGTAAATTCACGCGTAAATTAAATCTTTCTGTGTTCACTGATTTTGACTTTTTCCCGTGTACTAAAACTCAGGTTGCAAATTTCAGTCGATAATAACATTAAAAACAACATGATTTAGCGCTACTTTCACCTCTGAACAACTTTCTTTTAATGTATCATTAATTTGATTTTAGCATTTTCTATGAATGACAGGAAAATTGTCAAACATAATTCTGATTAATACATGTTGTTTTTGTTGTACCTAATTTATTGAATATCATTATATATTATGTAGATTACCTTGGATTTGTGGTGGATATGGTGTACGATGGGATTCCCCTCTATCTTTGTATGTGACTGTGGCAGCTGAAAGACAGAATGATGAAGATGCATTAAGAAAAGAAATTAATGAAACTTTTGGATGGAAAGCTTCTCCTTACTTTGAATTTGAACCAGAACCAAAAGAAAAATCGCAGTTTCGATTGTTGTCAGACCTTAAAGTAGTAAAAAGAGAAAACGGTCCAAATCCAATGAGTAAAAAGAAGGACAAAAAAAAGATTATTGAAGCAATGGCAAAAGGTTCTGTCACAATGTTTTGTAACAAAGACAAGAAACACTACGCTCTGACTTGTTTTCACAATTCATGCATTACTGACCGACAAGCAGCTGGTAACGAATTCAATTTTTCGCACATCTGGGAAGATATAAGACAATTATGCGAGAGAATTTCTAGAGGAGAAATTCCAGATGAAAATAGATATTATTACGTTCCTCTTATGGGTAAAGAAATAAAACTTGGAGCTCCTTGTTTTCGATCATTTAATGAAAACACTGACATCATGGCCATTGAAGTGCTTGATTGTAAAAAGATTACTCGCACCCTTCGCGAAATCACGGAGACTGATTGGAAAACAGTTAAAAATCAACTAAAGAAAAGAAATGCTAATGTTCGGAAACGAGTTGGAGGTGCTGTAGGAAAAATTTTAGACATTAGCTATTCACACATATGCAGAAAAAGCAGACGTGATATCTTTAGCAACGTTATCACCATTGAATGCGACCGTCCTTTTCTTAAAGATGGAGATTCTGGAGTGTTAATAGATTTCTACAATGAGGACAAAGACGAACACATACCTCTGGGTTATGGAGTCTGCGAACATAAAAAAGATGATGGAAGAATTGTCTATATAGCATTTAGATTGGACGTCGCATTGAAAAATCTAAACTTAGAAAACTGTCGTTGGTACTTGGAGGAGGCATAAAGAGTGATCTTGCTCTTATTTAATGAAGTTTGGACTGAGAATAGTTTATATTCATGTTTTTATTAGTTGCGAAAGTACTTTTTCGTATTCACATACATTGATTTAGGTTTATTGTGTTTATTAATTACTTATTTCACTTTGTTTTCTTATTATCGTCATTTTGGTGTCATTGGTGAAATGTTCATTTTCACTGTCACTTGTATTCACTATTCACATATTTAATGCACAATTTTTGTTGTTATAATTTATATTTTTCTTCCTAAATCCATAATTTCTCTGTAAATTTATGATTGGAGTTGAAATTACGAAATCTTAAATGAATTTCAGTTAGTCAAAGTTCAATTTTAGGTGAATGATAAAATTTTACCAGACTCTGACAACTATATTTACCATCTCAAGACTATATCTTCAATGTGTAAGTATTTTCTGCATGGCTATTGTTGTAGTTAAGCTAATCATTTTTAAACAAATAATCATTATGTACTCGCCTATAAGAAAAACCCAGTCAAACTGAAGACAGCATAAGTTTGCGGAAACAAATTTAAAATAAAAACTATTGTCGTTTGTCTGAATTCCGGAATGTCTTAAGTTATACTAACAAATGAATAAAATATGAACTAAAATCAACAGCCCCAGGACTTTCTGCACGTACCGCCGTTTAGTTTAGCTCAGAATGCAACAAAAATGCTCGTATAACATCATCAATCATTTCTTTAACGCTCAACTGGTGGCGGTGTTCAAATTCATTTTTGACCACAATATTTCCATGGGAGAACACGTTCCAAAAAGAATAACGGAGTTTGTCATCATTGAACGAAACATCTTATTATCATCATTTTGGTGTCATTGGTGAAATGTTCATTTTCACTATATCATGTATTCATTATTCACATATTTATTGCACAATTTTTGTCATTATAATTTATATTTTTCTTTCCACATCCATAATTTTCTCAATAAGTTTATGATTGGAGTTGAAATTACAAAGTCTTAAATGAATTTCAGATAGTCAAAGTTCAATTCAGGCGAATGATAAAATTTTACCATACTTTAACAAATATACTTACCATCTCAACACGATATCTTCAGTATGTAAGTATTTTCTGCGTCGCTATTGTTTTATAGTTGAGCTAATCATTTTTAGACAAATAATCATTATGTACTGGCCTGTGAAATAACCCAGTCGAACTGAAGACAGCATAAGTTTGCTGAAACAAATTTAAAATTGAAGCAATTGTCGTTTATCTGAATTCTGGAATGTCTTAAGTTATACAAACAAATGAATAAAATATAAACTAAAATTAGCAGCCACAGAACTTTCTGCACGTACCGCCGTTTAGTTTAGCACAAAATACAACAAAAATGCTCGTATAACATCATCAATCATTTCTTTAACGCTCAACTGGTGGCGGTGTTCAAATTCATTTTTAACCACAATGTTTTCATGGAAGAATACGTTTCAAAATGAATAAAGGTTTCGCCAGCGTTAAGCGACATATCTTATGAGTCATCGTTAGAGTACAAGATACAAAATCTTTACACATGTAGATAGCATTATTTATTCCATGTCATTAACTCAAAAACGCTAGTTTACAAAGAAAAGATCTGATTTCAATTTTTTGTGTACAAGTTAGGCCTGTTTCAAACGTCGAACTTGACATGCACCGAACGCATTAAAAACAAAAGAAAATGAGATGAACTTCCTCATTGTCTTTTGTTTTAAATGCGTTCGGTTCATATAAAGTTCCACGTTTGAATATAGGCCTTAATTTCATGGCCCTCATGTTAGACGGTTTTAATAAAGCATTTTTCACATTTACAATGCAAATGTCATCCAATATGACGAACATTTCATTGTTCTCTCTCTCCCCAGAGAATGATTAATTTACTTACATTAGCTACAAGTCAAAGCTACTGCTAACAAAACCACTAAAAATCATAAGGTGTGTCTTTGATTTAAATAACAATCTCGTCTTCAACTTCTTTAATCTTCAGACTTCAAAGAAAATCATGCTTGCGCTGTTGCGCATAATTTACATTAGAAACCAGCATAGCTAAAAAAAGTTCAAGGAAAATAATAAATTATGTTATTGAAATGTAGTTTAATTCGTCACATAGATGAATGTTGCATATTCTGCTTATCTTTTCAGAATATTTTCTCTAAAAGCGAAAGCTCAAATCATCATAAATATTGGCGTAAGATGACAATGAGCAAACATTTTTCCTGATCAAGAAGTTTACCTCCAACGTAACAAAAACACGAATAATAAATATTGTCTTTGAAGAAAAACGGTGAAAGTAAAGTTAATTTTCAAATTCGAATAAGAATTAATTTATGGGTATACTGAGTCGTCAGCAACACAAATAAGTTTTCATTGATTTGTAAATTTGATATCAGACAAAGTGTGATCATTTTGAAAATGCAAAAATTTTTTTCTCAAATTTATGTTGTCCATGTATTTAACTCCGTTTATTTAGCAGGTGTCTTTATTAAAAAGCTTGAAGTTTAGATTCAAACAATGTGTAGACAATATTATTGCCAGTTTAAATTTTTTGATAACTGCCGTTCCTTACAATTCTTTTTCAAAAACTGCATGTCAACAGAAGATCCTTTGATGTACGATGTATGCGAAACCAAAGTAACGGACGCAGACACCTTCGTTTGTACAACTTCAACGTTTGTACCGACACAAGGATTTAATTTCAAGGAACAAGTGTACGATAAGAGAGCTAACTTGGTATTGAGATATGCACAAGAAATTGTATCGGAAGATACTAATGTTATCATCGCGTTTCATTGATTATCCGGAAAACACATGTTACCTCGAACTTTTCGCCGTGTAGAATTTTCAAATAATTTGATCACCTCTCCCACGCTCAATTCGAATAATCAACTCAATTTAACGAAAGGTCACGGATCGTATTGGCGTCCGATGTTATTCATTCCACCTTCGGACACGAACGCGGAAGGAGCTCTCACCTTGTTCCGATTAGTAGATGGTAAGAAAAGTAATGTGCGAGAATACACACATGACAATTTAACAAAACAATCATGGCGTAAAAAGAATGTAGCTAGCGGTAATTACGAACGATTAAGTGTTCCTATGGATAACGCCATAGAAGCTGCCGAAGGCAGTACTGTGTTCAAAAGTGGTGTTGTAATTATTGTTATTTATGATGAATTTGCATTAAAACCTAATTAAAGGAAGACATTTTAAGAGTTGCCTGCCTGCCGTTATTGATCTGTTATAAGCCATCGGATCCCATAATTTGAATTACTTAACTTAAAAATGGCATTTAGTTTTTCTGGCGTATTACGTACGGGTGCAACAAAAGATACGTTTGAATCAATTTTAACTCCTGAACCGACCCCTGAGCAACTGCATCTAACTAAAAATTATTTTTATCATGTAAAAATTCCAGTATCTACTGTTAGTAATACTAGTGGTGTTTTTAACGTAACTCCAAGCAACTCTTCAAATGAATATATACAATTGATCAAAACAACAGCTGAAAATAATTTTGCACAACATCGAGTGCAACATTTCGTTGCACCGCAAGGGGTTGATTTCATAAAAAATATATGAGATAAACGTCAAAACTTAATGGCACGTGTCGGTAACACAGTTGTAACTGATAACACGAAAGTGGTTGTGGTGTTTTCAAAAATTTCCGGAATTTAATACATTCCCTACAATTTTATTTTTTGTCGAATATCCGGAGGAACGCTCCATTAAGCATGGCTTAGTGGAAGTAATCAGTCGTTCTCGATGCCAGAAATTTCTCAAAGTAATTTCAATTCAACGATGCAATCAAGATTCCCAAATTCATGGTGGAGACCGGCGAATTACAGAAACTTTGCTGATTAGAGAACCCAAAGTGGAACGCTTACGGGAGAACATACACATGGTACAGGGAAACATCGAATGCGAGAGATGCTCCTACAAGCATTCAAGACGACGGACAAGCACAAACTACATCAACAGGAATTTCAGTGACAAACTTTTCGTTTACTAATAGGGGAGTCATTTAAAATTGGGGATTTATTGTAATCGGAGTATGTCGTCAGTTTGTATTATAGTTTTTAATAAATAAACTTTTAAAGAATGAATTTTAATTATTATTATGGCAACGATCGAAGGAACACCTAAACACTTAGATCATAGTAATAATGATATAAGTATCACTATACCTAGGCGGCGGTGGTATATCTGAAAATCCATATGCGTTACCAAATGTTTTGAATGGAAGTACGATAAGTACGAATGTCACACCCTTATTTTTGGATGTGGTTGTGAATGAAACTGTTATCGTGCAATGGACAAGCGTAACACGTTATCATTTTATCGCGTATTGGTTACACAATAATACTTATACTTTTGCATGGGGTGCAAGTCAACCGTGGAGTTTTTTCACAAGAAAACCAACCGGAGACATTTCCTTTATTGTCGGTAGTGGCTCGTACAGCTCATTTGACTTTGCTCAAGATGCTAACTGAAAATTCATCGTATTTTACCCGAACGCACGTTTCAATACTTACACTTAAATCAAACGTGGTGGTCGATAAAAAACATTCCTTCGCATGAAGGCACTGTAGCGATTCCTTCTTCCATTCTAAACAAACAAGGAGACGGTGTATGGGGAAGTTTGGGGAATCCTTTCAATCAACGAAACATTACTTCGGAAAATGGTGAAGATCATAAAAGATAATTTCACATGTTCGTGTTGGTGAAACGGTCGTATTGCAATGGACAACCACCTCCCTCAAGGGTAATACCTCTCATTTCGAACATAATGAAGGTATTCAAGCGGGATTCGTTTGGCAGCCGTTCACTATATTCAAAAAAGAAACAAGCGGACCTATTCGTTGGGTGTCGGATACTGCAGATGATTCCGGATCAAGTTGGACATTCAACATTTTCGGAATAATCCATGATGAATATTGAAATGAACATCGACGAGAACGACGTTTGACCGATGACGAAGACAATGATGAAGATCTTGCTCTATTTGATGCAATCAATAAAATTCCAATTACAGGCAAACCTTTACATATCGGTACCAGTCCATTGTTTATAAGTTATCCGTATAACGATACTCAAAAGTTGGGAAATCAACTCAATCAATGGTATAAATCACTTCTCAAACACAATACGGATACGGATGTCACATCGTTGTTTAAAGATGTGAGCGTTGACGAAACGGTGATTTTGATGTTTACATGCAACAACAATGATGTGAACGTTGTCACCTTGAAACATTTTAATCGCGCATGTGCTGTTTACGCTTTTTACCATAAAATAAGTCTTTTTACACGAAGAACCTCGGGGGAAATTATCCTGAGATCGATACTCCACTATAAAACAACAAACACGAATGCGGCAGTCACCTTCAATATTCTAAAGCATGGAGAATTTTTAGATATTGATCTTGTCATTTTTGATACACCTACCCATATCGGAAACATAGATTATGAAGGACCATTTACTGATTTCGATTA